AAACAAGAGTGGACCAGATGTATGGTCTCCAAAATAAGATCTCCCCTGGGAAGTGGCTCTAGCTGAGAGCAGAGAGAAAGAACCAGAGGGGAGCAGGAGTGACTCCATATGCCAGGGGACAAAATTGTGGAAAGGCTCACAGACTTCCTATCCCTACCCAGTCTGATGTCTTAGGATGGAGCAGAAAATATCACCAGCAGAGATTAGAGAAGTGCCTGTAGAAAAGTAGATGTCATTGAGTGTTGGAGAGGTGACTGTCGACAGCTGTCATAAGCTGTGGGTGGGAGTATAAATTGGTACAGCCACTCTGTGGGCAGTTTGCCAAGATCTATTAAAACTAAAAACAAGGCTGTACACTCTGACCCAGGAATCCTTCTTCTCTTCCCGAGAGAGATGCTTGTGTGTATGCCTGTGAGGATGTTAGTCAATGTTGCATTGTTGGTTATAGGCAGAGCCTGGAAACAACCTAAATATCCAGCACTAGAATGGCTCAGTAAGCCATAGTATGTCCATAGCATGAAATGTTCCATAACACTAAAAAGAATGAAGTCTATCTATACATTCTTATGTTGGTAGATCTTCAAGACATATTGTTGAGTGAGAAAAAGAAACTTGTGGAATCATATCTAAATTCTGATACCGTTAATATTTTTTTAAAAATCAGAAGTATGTACTTTAGGGTATAAGCTAAGCTGCTATAACAAAAGAGATCCCCAAATTAAAAAAAAAAAAAAAAGGCTTAAGTGAGGCAGCGTCTTTCTCACATAACGGTCCAAAGGGAGGTGTGGTCCAGGGTAAGTGGTGTTCAGTTATGTGTTGCTATGTGAAACAACAATAATTACATTTTGCTCTTGGATTCTGTGGGTTAGGAGTTTAGACAGGGCATGATGGGAATGGTTTGACTGTGCTCTACGGTGTCAGGGGCCTTCTCTGGGAAGACTTGAATGGCTGGGAGTAACTTACATGGCTGTGGCTAGAATCATCTGGAGGTTCTTTGCCCACACATTTAAATGTCTGAGCTGAAACGACAAGAATGTTTGTCTTAGTTGAGACTATTGATCAGAGTGCCTACATGTGACTTCTCTATGGGTTAGGATTTCCGTACAGCATGGTGGCCTCAGGGTAGTTGGACTGTTTGCTCTAAAAGCAAGTGTTCCAGCAAATAAGGCAGAAGCCACATGGCCTTCCATGACTTTTTTCTCAGAGACTGTAGTGTTCCTCCTGCCGTATTTTATTGGTCAAACCAGCCACAAGCCTGTCTATATTTAAGAGGTGGGAACAGAGATCCCACCTCTGTCTGTGAGGAGTGCTAAAGGATGGGTGATCTTGTTTTAACAGCATCACAAGTGGGAAGCTCTGTCACATGAGGTCAGCTGGGTTTGGCTGGGGAAGGGACACTGGGCTTTGCCACTGACATCATGTGGCTTCCATCTCTGGTTTCAAGGTAATTGCACCTGTTGTCGCCATATCCCAGTCAGGAAAAGGGACAATGGAGGGCAAGCAGCTCCTTATAAAGATGTGGTTCAGAACTTAGACACATCACTTCTACCTGCATCCCTTTGGCTAACTCATCCTGGGGCTACACATAGCTGCAAGGGAGGCTGGGAAATGTCTGTTACTGGATGGCCATGTGCCCAGCTACTACTCATGGGGTCCTGTTACTAAAGGAAGTAAAGGAGACTAAGTATTAGGAACAATTCATTTTTGCAACAGTGTGTATTTTTCATATATATGTATATATTTTTATGTGTATATATGTACAAATAGGTCCATATAGAATATAGAAGTGCATAGATAAATAGACTACAGTCTGGAAAAATACATACACAAAAGTCTAGAAGAAAGTGGTAACTGTAGTTCCCTCTGGAGAAAGGGGAGAAGACAGGATGTGGGATATTCATAGCCGACTCCAGCCATAGCTGTAGGGTTTTAATTTTTAACGAGGATAATGTCTTCATGTTTTACTTAAGAAATTAAATATTAGTTTAAATCCAAGAGGGCCTGGTGAGCATCTGGCTGCTGATGTTGCAGTCTTGGTCTTATCTTTCTGTGGTGGGACCCAGCACCAGAGTGTGCCAGGAGGTCGCATAGCCCTTTATCTTCCAGGAGCCTCTGCTGCTGTTGCTGGGGGCTCTTGGTTCAGAGGCCCCACCTTCTCAAAGCCTGTGTAACTTACTCAGGGTCTCTCTGCCCCCATCCTTCCTGTCTCATTCTGGAGGGTTTCCTTTATTACTGGCAGATTAGTTGAACGTAGGAGGGTGGAGGAATTCAAAAGGGAGTAAATCGCAGCCTCCCTCTCTACAGATTACTTGTTAATTACAGATAGGAAGCTGGTCACTGTAAATGGAGAAAGCAATGGGCAGCAAGCAATCAATGTTAACATCACAGACACTGTGTCCCTCCTGATAGGAGACACTGAGGACACAGCATCACTTTAATGGCATTTCTGTCCCAAATGCATATCCAAAATTCACTCATGGGGAAATATCTGACAAACCCAGATGGAGGGACATTCTTCAAAACAACTGGACTGAACCCTTTGAAAATGTCCATGTCAGGGCACCTGGGTGGCTCAGATGGTTAAGCGTCTGCCTTTGGCTCAGGTCATGATCCCAGGGTCCTGGGATCGAGTCCCGCATCGGGCTCCCTGCTAGGCGGGGAGCCTGTTTCTCCCTCTGCCTCTGCCCCCCCGCTCTGACTCTCATGAATAAATAAATAAAACATTTAAAAAAAATTTAAAAAAAGTCCATGTCATGAAAGACAAAGAAAAGTTGAGGAACTGTCGTAGACTAAAGGAGCCTGAAGAGATACGATGATTTGATCATTGTACTATGGATATATAAGAGAATGTTGTGTTCTTTTTTTTTTTTTAAGATTTTATTTATTTATTTGAGCAAGAGAGAGTGAGCAGGAGTGGGGAGAGCAGCAGAGGGAGAGGGAGAAGCAGATCCCCCGCTGAGCAGGGAGCCCGACGCGGGGCTCGATCCAAGGGCCCTGGGATCATGACCTGAGCCAAAGGCAGACCCTTAACCGACTGAGCCACCAAGGCGCCCCGAGAATGTCGTGTTCTTAGGAAACATGTGCTGAAGTATTTAAGAGTAAAGAAGCATGTTGTCTACGACCAACTCCCAAATGGTTTAGAAAGGAGTAGGCAAACCTTTTTTGGCAGAAAGGCTAGGGAATGAGGATTCTAGGCTTCGGCGGGCCATATGGCCCATGTCACAACTACTCAATATGCTGCTTTAGCGCCAAAGTAGCCATGACGGGATGTAAGTGAACGGGTGTGGCTGTGCTCCGGGAATGTTTATTTATGGATACCGAAATTTCAATTTCATATACTTCTCACGTGTTGTGAAGTATTCTTCTTTTGATTTTTTTTTTCCAACCAGCCAAAAACCATTTCCAGCGTACTGCCCATACAAAATATGGTGGCTAGAGATTTGGCCTGTGGGTTGTCGTTCACTGATGCCTGATACAGAAAAAATACACACACACACATGCGATAAAGCAAATATGTATGGCATAATGCCAACAGTTAGTGAATCTGGGTGAAGGGTATAGGGGGGTTCTTTGTATTCTTCTTAAAATTCTTCAGCAAGTTTGAAATTATTTAAAAATATAAAGTTACATGAAAGACCTGATTTTCCTCTCCAGGGACCCAGGCAGGAGAGAGTGAGGATGCTGTGCGAATTCAGGGGACCAAGCCATCTCATCTCGGGGTCAGGGGAGACTTGCTCACAGTGTCCTTTGATGTTGTTCCTAATTGTTATCTGTTCACTTCATTGTCTTCACTTCTTTATTTTCTGGCTTGACTGTCAAATCTGGAGACCCCACTTGGCAGCTATGAGCGTTTAGGGTCTGGTCTCACCCTTTGACTATCCCCTTTTTTTCCCTCCCTCTGGTAAATACGTTTCTCCACCACCCAAGAAAGCAGACACTTTAAATCTGTTCATTGGATTATTTTTTTAAATTTCATGGTCCCTGTCCCTCATATTGTTTCCTCTACATTGTTGGTGCTTGTCTTAGATTATCAGAACTCTAGAGGAAAGGGGCTGTTTCTGAGCATATGGTGTAATGTTTGGGGAGGTGTGCTGGGGCAGCATGATCAAGAAGTTACTGTGTTCATCCTCCTTGCCTTGAGGTGAAGTCTCTTGTATTTCCCCAGGCCTTGTGGCCCTGAATGGTTATTTCCAGAGCCTGGGGGAGGGAGGGCTGGCTGTAAGGGAAGTGGTGTGTCCTTTTCTTAGTTGACTTAGCAAGAACTCTCTTCATTGCCAGGATCAGAAACCGAACTCAAACTGGCCTAAGTGAAAAGGAATTTATTAATTCATGTCACCAAGAGCATTACATTCAGACCTGGTTAGATCTAAGGACTGAATTGATGCTGTGAGAATTCTATCTCATACTGCATTGCAATTCTGTTTTCCTGTTAGGCTTCATTTGCTCAACAGCCCCAGGTGCACTTTCTACCAGATTAGCAAACCCAGAAGAAGGAGGGCATTTCTAAACCAATATTTCTAAACCAGAGTCCCAGGGCTGACTCTCACTGGCCCGGTTTGAGCCACGTGTCTACCTCTGAATCAGTCAGTGGCTAGGGCATTGGAGGATACTCATTGGCCTGGCGTGGATCACATGACCGCTGTTGGCGTGGAAACTGTTAGCCCTACTCAAACCATCTGGACCAAGAAGAGGTTGACAAGAGGTGGCCTCCCAAAGGCATATTGGGTTGTTGTTGCTATTAGGAAGGATGGAACCTGGGTAGGAAAAAAACATTAGTTCCGTACATAAATGCCGTGCCATGCTGCCTTCCCGAATTCCAGTCCTGGTTGTCTAAGCCACATCTTCGATAGTAGTAGTTGCACTACTTTTTTGGCAGAAAGGCTAGGGAATGAAGATTCTAGGCTTAGCTGTCAGACTGACTTGCACAGTCACGTCCAACTATGAAAAGCGACCCATTCACATTCTCCCATACACCCTGCTTGGGCTCCTCCATCCCTCAGGAAACCCACAGGATCTACAAGCAGAAGCTGGAGGAGCTGACCTCACTCCAGACTTTGTGTAGCGGCTCCATCAACAAGCAGAAGACGCGCCTGAAGGACTTGAAGCACACACTCCAGAGGTAGGCGAGGCTACAGCTCCCCGGGTTTTAAGGGACAGAAACCCAACTCAAAGCTGGCTTAAGCAGAGAATGGAAATTTTAATGGAAAAAAACCAGGAGTAGCTTCAGACATCACTGGATGCAGGGGTCAAAAGGTGTTTTTAGGAATCTGTTTCCACCCCCCCCTTTCTAAATTCTGCCTTCCTCTAGATTGGCTTCACCCTCAGGCTGACTGTCCCCTTCTGGTCACCGAGATGGCCACCAGCAGTGCCAGACAAATATCTTTCGGACTTACATCCTCCAGCCTTCCTTCCTATTGGTTTGGTTCCACTGACAGAATAACTTGTTTTTCAGTAAAAGTTCTGGGTGTGATCCTAATTGGTGGGAATTGGTCACATGCTCCTTTGTGAACCAATCACTGAGACTCTGGTTAGGCAAGACTAGGTCATATGCTTAGTTTTTGGACCTGGGGGATGGGACAGGCTTACTGGAACTATATGGAGGGGAAAGAGGATGTGAGGTAGTTTCCCAGAGGAAAGTTGTTATGGGTCTTTGGTGTAGGTGGTAGGAAGTCTGGCATCCCCAGGGGGAAATACTTAAGCTCCTGACTTAGTTCAGTTCTTGAGGACAAGATCATAAGTTCACCTCCCAATCCTCATGTCTTCATGGTTTGGAAAGTGCTCTCATCCCCTATAGGTAGAAGGAGTCCAGTGGGTGCTGTGATCCCAGGCAGGCAAGGAGACTGAGGCTCTGAGTGGCTTATTCCAGTTGACTTCGCTAAGTCTCTGTACCATAGTGTGTAACTCCTGGTCAATCCTTCCCTTCCCTTGTGGACAATTTTTGCAAGCGTACTGATTATATCCCTAACCTTGGCTGACCATTTTGGAAATGGAGGTCCATTAGTCATGGAGTAAGAGTGTGGAGGGTTCCACGTAATGACATCGCCACTCTTGGAAAAACACATCTTACTGATGGTAAGACTCAACAGTCTTTATCGGTCTAGGATTTTTCAGCCCTGGCACTGTTGGTAATTCTGCTGCAGGGTCTGTCCTGTGCATTCTAGGATGTTTAGCAGCATCCCTGGCCTCTATCCCCTAGATGCCAGTAGGACATTCCACCCCCTGTTTGACAAATAAAATGTTCCTAGATGTTGCCAAGTGTCCCCAGTTGAGAACCATTGGGTTAGAAGGTTGACCCATAGAGGACATACCTACTATTCTGAGAGGGTGTCCACTGGCTTGTTTTTCTAGTTTTGAGAGTTAAATATCACCAAGGAAAAACAGACAGTGATCGGTTGCCTGCTAATACCTTTAAAGCACTTTCCTGTCTGCCCTTCTAGTAATCCTCAGTCTCCTCTTTTAGAAGAGTAAGAAGCATGGTATTGCCTGTAGAAGTCCATTGAGCTCATACTGTGTATCAAGGATCATTCTAAATGTGTTACATTTAGTGTACTCACTTAATCCTCACAACAGTATTGTCCATGAGGTAGGCCTGATGCTACCCCTGTTTTTCAGGTATGGAAAATAAGGCAAAGCGGTGAAAGGACTTTCCCAAGGTCACAAGGCTAGCAGGGACCCAGGGTCAAACCCACAGGGTGCAGAGGGAGAATTGAGGTTGTAAGAAGCATTGAGATAGAAAGTTGGGAGGGCCGTGCCCCGAGCTCCCAGATTCTTCCTCCAGTCTGAGTAACACCCCTGCTTCTCCTATGCCCACACCTCTGACCAAACAGGTACAAGAACCATGCCAGTCGGGAGGAGGCAGAGCTCATTCAGCAGATGAGCACCAACATCAAGGAGCGGCAGAACATCTTCTTCGACATGGAGGCCTACCTGCCCAAGAAGAATGGGTAGGATCTGGAAACTTAGCGCACCTCTGCTGCGGGCAGACACCCAGGCCTAGAGGGCCTGGTCTGTGTGACTTCCACCTCCCTGCTGGGGCTTGAGGTTGAGGGGAAAGGAGGGAAGCAAGGGCAGGAAAGAGAAGGAGCCTTTCTCATACGTTCCTCCATGGAACAGGAAGGGATCTCAGCGTGACCTTCCTGGGAGGGCTTGTGTGAGGAACCAGATACAAGATCTGGTTTCCAGCACCTGCCGCATGCCTGGTGCCACCCGAGGTTAAGAGGAAAGATGTTTTCTCCCAAAGAACAAACATTGATTTATTTTATTTTTATTTTAAATTCCAGTACAGTTAACAGACAGTATTGTATTAGTTTCAGGTGTGCAGTAGGGTGATTCAGCACCTCCGTACATCACCCAGTGCTCATCACAACAAATGCCTTCCTTCATCCCCATCACCTAGCTCACCCCTCCCTCCACCCCCTCCCCTCTGGTAACCATGAGTTTGTTCTCTGTAGTTAAGAGTCTGTTTCTTGGTTTCTCTCTCTCTCTCTTTTGTTTTCCTTTGAGAACAAACATTTATTGAGTGCCTGCTGTATGCCTAGCATTGTGCTGGGGGCTCTTGAATTGTCTACAGCTTGGTGAGTCAGACCCAGGTATCCAAATTCTACAAGGTTCAAAGCCATCAGGGGGTGTTTTGCTCAGGTGGCTCAGCCCAAGTTTGGATGTGAACACTCTGACTCCAGAGCTTCTGTTCTTTCTGTCTTCCTCCTTTGAAGAAGTCCCATTTCCTCCCTCAGGTGACATCACTGCCACCTGTTCCAGAGCGAGATCGGACAGTGTTGTATTGAAACCTGAGGCGGGCTGCTAAGTGTGCTCCCATCACGTCCCTGTGGCCCTTTCTCCTGGTTTGGCCTAGTGCTGAGTCAGAGCCCCTGTCAGGAGGCTTACTAGCCCTTTTACACTTGAAGCCATTCCTCTTGGCTTCTCTTTTGCCATATTTGGTGAAAAACTCCCTGAGTTGGGTGGTGATAATTTTCCATAGAGTGAAACTGCATGACCCTTTTTTACAGTGCAGCTCAGATCCGCTTTCCCAGCTCCAGCCTCCTGAGTCCTCCGTGCATTTTACATCGGTTGGCAATCTTTGAGTTACAAATGACAGAAAGCCCAACTCAAAGTGCTTACGAAAAATAGGCGATTTATTGGTTCACATAACTTAAAGGTGCAGATGTTGCTGTGGGTCTGGCTGGATCCTGCTGCTCAAATGATACTGTTAGGCTCTCTCAGTGAGCTTTCCTTTTACTTTCTTGACCATGTGTGTCTTGTTCTTAGGGAGACTTTCTTTACAAGCTGCCCCGGGAGCTCTGGGTTTGCCTTCCGCCAGCTTAACAATTCCAGTAGAGAAAGCCTCTTTGTTTCTTAGTAGTTCTGGGAAAAGTGCCGGGACTGAGTCCCATTGGTGTATGACCAGTGTGTCACATGATTATTATTGACCCAATGAGGAGGATGCAGTGCTTTGATTGGCTAAGCCTGGGTCATGTGCCTTACCCTAGGACCTGAGGGGAAAAGAGATTCTCTGAAGGGAAATGGCACTGCTCTTTCAGGAAGTGGGGACTGTATTGCTAGCTGAAAAAAAATAGATATTCTTTTTACACCTCTACTCCGGTTACACCAGACGCCCCTAGAATTTATTCAGAGCTAGAAAGAAGACTTTTTTGTTTGCTTTTCTCCTCTCAACCTTCTATTCATCCTTCAAAGCCCAGTTCAAATGTTACCAACTCAGTGAAGCCTTTCCAAAACCCCTCTCCCTCTGTGGAATTAAACCCTTCCTCCCCCAAGATTTCATAACCCTTTGCTTGCACCTTTGTTAGTGCCGTTAGAGTACAGGCTATTGTAACAAAAGCCCAACGATACAGGGGCTCGGACAAGGGGGAGGTTTCTCTTCTCTTCTCATACATAGCAGTCCAGAGGTGAGTGAACCAAGAGTGGAGGGCTCATGGGGTCATCTAGGGACTCAGGGTCCTTCCAACTCCAACTTGCTCCTTCACCACCCTTCAGGGAGTTGTCCTCATCTGCATGGCCAAAGCTGGCTCATACTGTCACATCTGCAGGAAGTGGAGGGCAAGCAGCTGCCTTTTTACTCCCCCCCCAAAAAAGTTTGCCATTTCCTAGTGAAGCCAAAAACACACATATTCTATAATCCAGAAATTCCACTCCTGTCTGTCTGTATAGCCAATGGAAATGAGTGCTCCTGCCCTCCAATAGACATGTGTAAGAATGTCGGCAGCAAAGAATCCAGACTCAAAAGGCCCCATGTTGCATGAGTCTTTTTGTATGAAATGTCCAGAATAGGCAAATTCATAGATACAGAGTAGATTAGTGGTTGACAGGTGCTGGAGGGAGGGAGGAAAGGGAGTGACTGCTGATGGGTATGTACTTTATTTTGAGATGATGAAAATGTTCTAGAATTATGTAATAGTTGTACAACGTTGTGAATATACTGGAAGCCATAAGTTGGATACTCGAAAAGGGTGATATTATGGGGACACCTGGCTGGCTCAGTTGGAAGAGCATGTGACTTTTGATCCCAGGGTCGTTAGTTCGAGCCCCACGTGGGGTGTAGAGATCACTTAAATAAATAAATAAAACTTAAAAAAAAAAAAAAGGGTGATGTTATGGTATGTGAATTACGTTTCAGTTAAAATAAAGAATGTTCACAGCAGAAAGAAGCCAGGCATAAAATACACTGTTAGGTATACCTGTAAGTATACTGAAGGTTTTACTTCAGTTTTAAAAAGAACCCTTTTTAAATTGACCTAGAGATTGTACACATGCCTTCACCTCATTGGCTGGAATTTAGTCACATGCTCACATTAGCTGCAAGGGAGCCTGGAAAATATGGTCTCTAAGCCAGCTAAAATGGGGGGAAATGGGTTAGTCATGACTGTCATGTGTCACATTCTCTAGTTAGTCATTATTCTCCATGTGAGAATTTTACTGCTGAGTTTAGCACCCTGTTTTCTAACATCAGTGGTCAATGCATGCTTATTGTTTGAATGTTTTTGGTTGGGGCCCACTCCAGGGCTGGTAAGGAACGAGTCAGCCCTCACAGATACTTTCCTTCCAGGCTCTACTTAAATCTGGTCCTTGGCAATGTGAATGTGACCCTTCTCAGCAACCAGGCCAAGTAAGTTATCTCTGACCCCCACCTGGCTTTAGGGAATCCAGGCATCTTGCTCTTTCAACTTAGGAGAAATGAACCTAGCTAGAATTTTTGCATAAATAAAACAAATTAATAGTTGGGGCTCTGGCTCTTGGTCTTTCTGACACGCTCCTTCTCAGTGGGGAGGCCACCCTGGGAGGGTTGCTTCTTCTTTTCATGCAGTCAGTACGTTGCAGGAACAGAACTGTCACCTTCCCATGAGAAACGGCCCCTACTCCATTCCACTGCTTACCACACACAGTTCTCCCGGGAAGTGGGCAGTACTGTCCACCTGAAATCAGTCCCAGGGGCAGTAGAGCGTGGTGTTTCTGCTGCAGTAGCTGGTTAGGGAGCAGAACTTCTCCACCCCCTGCGCATCCCCATCACCAGCCCAGAGACCTACACCAAGAGCCCAGGGACATGGGAAGCTTTGCACATCAGTCCTCTTTCTCTGATTGATCATCACCATTAATTCAAGGCCAGAGTTTTCCTTTAGTGGGATCAGAAGCTCCCTGTGGGCAGTGGCTGGTGGTAGGTGAAGGATCTGTTGGGGCTGAGGATTCTGTCCCCAGATGGGATATAGTTATATTGCTATAACTATAGTAATAGTTATGTGACCTTTCCTGGGGGTGTCTGTCCCTACAGATTTGCTTACAAGGATGAGTATGAGAAGTTCAAGCTCTACCTGACCATCATCCTGCTCCTGGGTGCTGTGGCATGTCGATTTGTCCTTCATTACAGGTAACAGGAAGTGCGGTGGTGTGTGCCGGCATGGCGGGGCCGGGGGCGGGGGGCGGGGGGAGTCCCTCCTGCCTCCGCAACGTTTGGTAGGTTGTAGGTAGAGAAGACCCTTTTCTCATGCGAAATAGCAGCCCTGTCCACTCGACATCCGTCCAACAAATATCTACTGAACAGCTACTGGAGAGACCTTATAGCTAGTAGTTAGGAAAGAGCCGAATGGCACACACACACAATGGAATATTATTCCAATAATAAATAGGAATAAAGTAGTGACACACGCTACAACATGGATTCTGAAAGCATGATGTTCAGTGAAAGAAGTTAGTCACAAAAGGCCACATATTGTATGATTCTGCTTATATGAAATACCCAGAACAGGCAAATCTATAGAGACAGAAAGCAAATTAGTGGCCAGGGGCTGGGGGGAGGGGAGGTGGGGGTGGGTCCTGTTGATGGGTATGGCGTTTCTCTTGGAGTGAGAATGTTCCAGAATTAGATAGAGGTGATGAAGGTACAGCTCTGTGAATATACTAAAAAGTAATGAGTTATACTCTGAAAGGGTGAATTTTATGGTATGTGAATTATATATCAGTTATAAAAGGAGAAAGAAACAGAAAGCAAGAAAAAAGGAAAGGAAGAAGGGAAGGAAGAAAAGAAAGAAAGATCACAGACTGCCTGGGTTTGAATCTGGCTTTGGGACTGGCTGTCACCATGAGCATGTTCCCTCGGGGAGCCTCAGTCTCTCCATCTGTAAAATGAGGGTGACACTAGGCTTTGCTCACAGTGCGTGTGGAGGGCTCTGCCCAGCGCCTTGCACCAGCATCAGCCACTGCTTTGGGAGCAAGAGGAGGCCACCCGGCTCTGAGAGGCTGAGGCCAGTGGGCTCAGGCTGTCTCGCCACAGGGGGTTTCGTTCCTCACCCCCTGGCACTGGGTTTTGGGCCCCGAGGGGAGGCAGCTGAGTACAGCTTGGGCATTTGGCCCATGTGTCAGGGGTTTATCTCCTGGCAGGTGCTTGGCTGGGAGTCCAGTTTCTGGTCTGGCCACTTGAATGTCCAGGCAAAGAAAGGCCCTTTTAGGTCCTGGGCCCGTGACTGCTGCCTCAGGCCTGGCCTGTTTCCCCAGAGGGCAAAGCCTGCACACATCAGTACTGCCTGCTCAAATGCCCCTCTGGAAGGGATAGACGTTCTTGATGTGCAACCAGATTCCCTTGCGTTGGGACATCTTGGGCCCTCCGAGGGCAAACCTGTGGTGTGTTGTCAAGTTCTAAAGTTCAGCGAGGGCCTGGGTCTTTCAGTTTCTCCCCATCCCTCTCTATATTCATTTCCCAGGGCAGTGGTAACAAAGCACCATGAATTGGATGTCTTGGAACAACAGAAATCTATGTTCTCACAGTTCTAGAGGCCAGAAGTCTGAAATCAAGGTGTTGGTGGGACCATGCTTGCTCTTGAAGGCCCTAGGGGAGGATCCGGCCTTGCCTCCTCCAGCCTCCAGGGTGTTCCTTGGCGTTCCTTGGCTTAAAGCTGTTTCCCTCCAGTCTCACTCAGCCTCCTGTGCCTTAATCTTGTCAGGTAGCCTCCTTCCACGTGTGTCCCTGTGTTTCTCTCATGGCCTTCTTAGGAGGACACGAGTCTTTGGATTCAGGGCCCACCCTAACCTGGTATGACCTTATCTTAACTAATTAAATTTGCAAAGACCCTATTTTCAAATAAGGTCATATTCTGAGGTCCCAGGTGGACATGAATTTTGAGGGAACTCTAGTATACCTTCTGTGGGTTAAAAATAGGACAGGGAAAGGGGGCTGGACGGGCAGCTCATCTCTGTTCTGCCTTCAGGGAAGTTTGCCCTGCTGTTTGACCTTGGGCAAATGATCTAACCTCTCCCCACCTGGGTTTCTTCACACACAAAACGAGGATAACGAGAGCTACTTGGTAGGATGGCTCCCCTACTTGGTAGGGGAATGGGAAGTGAGACAGGAGGGGCTCCCCTGTACGTATCCAGAGAACTGGGAGACAGCATGGAACATGCCTCAGTTACCCACTAGAGGGGCGAGGGAGCAAGGGTATTTATCTTCCAACTGCTGTTGGTCAGGGGAGCTGAGGACTGCTTCCAGAGGGCATAAATTCCCCTCCATGCTGACCTGCCTTTCGCACCAGCAGAATGAGCTCTGGAGGCCTGAGAACTCCAGGCATGCCAGGAATGGCAGGGTCTGGCTGTCAGGAGTTATTCAGATGGGCACAGATGTGGAAAGTGCACCTGCCACAGGAAGCAATCCTGTAGGGTTGTTCCGAGGACTCAGAGAGATCGTCCACGTAAAATGCCTGCAGCATTGCAAGTTCCCAGTAATTAGAGCTGGCCTGGCATGGTCTGAGTCACGGTCCCTGAAGAGGTTCATACTCTAATCCCCAGAACCTGCGAATGTGTGGCCTTCTTTGGCAAAACGCCTCTGCAGATAGGTTAAGTGAAGGAACTTGAGAAGAGATTATCCTGGAGTTGGGAGGGTCAGAGTCAGAGAAGGAAATGTGATGCCACGAAACGAGGAATGCAGGCACCTCTAGAAGCTGGAGCAGGTCAGCAAGTGATTTCTCCCCGAGAGCCTCTAGAAGGAACCCAGTCCTGCCGACCCATTTCAGACTTCGAGCTCCAGAACTGTAAAGAGAATAAATGTGTGTTGCTTTCAGCCACTAAGTTTGTGGTCTGTTGTTACAGCAGCAACAGGGAGCTCATACACCCTGGCAGAGAAGGCTGAGGGCAGCACCTCAAGCATGTCCCTAAAGTGCTGGGGCCATAAAACTTTCTTTTTATTCCCCTCTTTACGGATAAGATGTAGGAAAGGACCAATGAAAAACATCCTGGTCACCATGACTCGCGACTGGGCCTGCCTCCTATCTGGAGGTGAGCTCAGAAGTCGATGTCTGAGTGACCCTCTGCCCTGGGGAGGCCGTCCCCACCCCAACACCCCATTCAAGTCAAGTAGGCCTTTGATTTCCTCAGAACTAAGCGTCTGAGACTCCTATCTCAGGCTTTGGATACTCTGTGATACTTCCCAAAATTACAACAGGGAATGCAGGTAGCCCTTCCTATGCCCCAGATGCCTCCTGTGTTAAACTCAGCAGATGCTCACAGCAGCCTACACAGGAGCTGTGCTCACTCGTCACTCTCCCCACTTCAGTGCAGGAGGTGATCACGTGGGAGAATCACTGACTTCCCCTGGTCGCGCAGCTGGGAAGAGTCAGAGCTGGGATTTGAACTCAGGCCCTGTGCTTCCAGTCTGTTCCTGGCCCTCCCAGGGTGATGGTTCGAGAGGGCTTGGGGTTGAAAGTCTGTCATCTGTGACCACAAAACAGGGTCACATAGCTTAAAAGACAACCTTCTAACTTTGGCTCTTACTGTTTGAGTCGCACCCTTACATTTCCCTCCCAGGGTTACCATAGTTGTCCCAGTTCAGAGATGGAGACGGAGGAGATGGGGTGTTCTCCCTCCCCGGTGCAGACGGATAGCGCCCCGCACAGTGCCGAATGCATCTGTATGGCGCTGGGAAGTACAGAGGCGCTTCCCTTTGTGGGGGAAGCTAGAGCCTCCGTTAGAGTCAGTGGCAGGAGAGGCTTCCGAGCGGCTGTCTGTCGTAGGCCTTGTCCCGGAATCCTTCACCCAGCCATATTCAGGTAGGGGGTCAGCCTTCGAATCTCAGAGACAGCAAAGTGGAGGCCAGGGAGGTCTCTGACGAGGTCACACCCCGCCAGCTTTCCGCTCTGACCAGGGTACAGCAACAGCTCCAGCCCCTCTGTCCTGTCTTAAGGCCTCTGTGCCGGGCTCTGGGCCGCGGCGACCGTAGAGGAGGCCGGGAGCTCTTTATTCAGCTTACAGACAATTTGGGCCATAAGAATTTTTTTGTAAGTGCAACAAAGTTTATAGATCTTTTAAGGGGACAGAGGGAATTTGCACTTTGACACCGTGGACAGTTTAAAATACTCAGTTTTCTGCTTCAGGTCCTCCTGTTGCCCTTCCACCAAAAATGTTACATCAGACAAGAATTTAGAAGGGAGAGAGGGTGTCTTAGGCCGAGTGCTCAGGGAAGGGGGCGAAACCTCGGCTAGAGCCCTTAAAGGCAAGCAGGATTCTGGTAGAAAGGTGAGGAGGGGACGGGGCAGGCTAGTGGCGGCCATGCTTCCTCTGTCTTCCCAGGGATCAGCGGTGTTCCCAGAGGCAGCCTGCGGGGGGCGGCCCTCATCCATGTTTGCTCTTTTATTGCCCTGTGGGTGGGAGCGCCGTCCCTGGTTCTCATGCGTGCGCTCCTCCCCGGGGCTGTTTCTTTCCACCAGGGTGACGGACGAAGTTTTTAACTTCCTGCTAGTGTGGTATTACTGCACCCTGACAATTCGGGAGAGTATTCTCATCAGCAATGGCTCAAGGTAATTGGGGGCCCAGCTTTGTGCGGGGGCGTTGGGGGAGCCAAAGGGAGATCTGTCATGGAAGGGGATGCAGATGAGGGCTGCAGTCACCCTCAGCCTGTATTCCCTTCCTCCGTGGAGGGGGAGGGGTATCCCTGACTGTTCAGAGCCAGGGAGGAGGAAAACTGGGTCTCCTGCTGCGGTGTCACCTCCTGTGGTCAGTCTCCTGCTTACCAAAAAGTCTAACTCAAATAGGTTTAACACAACAGGAAATTTGTTTTCTCCTATCAAGGAACAGGTCCGTTGGGGCTGACTTCAGGTCAAGCTTAATCCAGGTGCTTAGACAATGGCACCAGGACCCACTTTCTCTCCACCCCTCACCTCTGCCTTCTACTGTGCTGTCTTCATTCTCAGGCTCCATGCAGAGGCACCCGGGAGCGCCTGACTTTATTTCTAGCATTCCCAGCAAAATATGGCACCTTGCTGTTCTCCAAGAGTCTTACCAGGTTGCATTGGTACTTGCTGAATCATGTGCCTGCCTCTGAACCAATCACTGGCCAGAGAATGCACGGCTGTGATTGGTCGGGCTTGAGCCTCATGCCCGCCCTTACAGGCTGTCATTAGAAGCCTAGGGGCGGAGTGTCAGGAGGGCAGTGGGTGGGTCCCCCAGAGGAAAATTGGGGTACTGTCATCAGAGGGATGAATGGATTCTGGTGACAAGAGAGGATGGTGGGGAGGACGGTGGGGAGGACGGTGGACATATGGTGAGGGTCTTGGTTCAAACCTGCCTTGTTACTCCCGCAGTGCTGAGGAGGAAGACAGCCAGGCTGGGAGTGAGGGTTCCGGAGTTCTGGTCCCACTACTGTTCCTGCGCGGCTCTGGGGCCCTGGGCAACTGAAGTCCCCTCTCTGGGCTATTTCACAGTCCCTTGGGGGCGTGTGCCTCCGCGTTCCTGAGTGAATGGAGACACAATTGGGGGTCCCCACCTCTGAGGGCCTGCAAATACGAGGAGCCCCGCTATTTTGTCATTCTTCCCACGCCACCTGTCTCTGAGCTGAGAGTCTTGGGGCCCAGTTAAGACCACGATTTGCCACCTGCGGGACCCATTTTCCGTAGGTCTGACTTCCTTTTTGGGGTAGCTGTTTCATCTCTGTGTACCATGCTTGTCCCTATTTTTCCCTGAAACGAAAGGTAACAACCTCCCAGCCCCTCCCTGCTTCCTCCTTCCTGGACGCTAGTAAGGAACTGTCATGAACTGTGTATTTAAGATTGGGGGCATCTGCAAACCCCTAAATAATTTGCCACCTTTTCACTTTTCTGCCCAGTGGTCTCTTATGGCAGATCCCTGCCCTGCCGGGCCTTAACCTGAAGGTAGAGCCCAGAGGTAAGGACCAGGGGCCCAGCGATTTTTAGGTATGCAGCCCCGTAGCATGTAGCCCGTTAGAAAAGATCAGTGTTTCTCAAACGGCGCTCATTCTTGACGCAGCCTCGCCATTTTTGCCTTTTCCATGTATCATCTGGATGATAATTTTCACATTTTAAATCAACCTCTCCTTTTTTTTTTAACTTAAATAAATACTAGTGTATTGTAAAAGGAAATTTTATTTCATCACCATACATGGAAAACCAGCATCAGTTGCAGGAAAGAGGAAGTAGTATAAAAATATCCTTTTGTTTTCCTTGTATAAGTATTGAAGTCAATTATTCTTGCTTCCGGGAGGCTCTGAGCCTGAGGCCTGCTATCTCTGTGTGTTACGTGTATGTAAAAAGGGAGATTAGCGGACCTTGAGAGGCATTAAAGAGACTCTTTCCTGGACTTAATCGGGAGAATAAAGAACTGAACCAATGACCTCTCGCCACGTGGTTCAGTATCATCTAGTGTTACACTCAAGTGTCATCTAAAATTTGGTGGAATGCACCCCATGCTTTGGGAAACACTGAAGTAGAAAATCTTACCAAATAAATAACATTCATAGTCTTTCTTAATTTTAGTGAATAGTATCTTTCTGCTTTTGGGTGTCGTTGGAGGGGAGCCAGGGTGGTAGGTAGTAGGGAAACAGGGCCAGGGTAAGTGGCAAGGCCTCCTTGTTATGAACTCTCTTCTGTTCCCATGGGCTTGTTGTCAGCCTTACAGTTTCATCCTTCTGATGGACTCATTTTAAGAGTCTTCAGAGGCATGCTACATCTCTAACAGTCACTAACACTTGAAGAGTTACTCTGGTCAGCTCTTTATCTAGTGTGACAAGCTGTGGATGGGGGGGTGGTGGTGGTGGGTTACCAGAGGGAAGGGAACAGGACTGAGTGGAGGTCCCTGCAAGTGTGGGGCATACCAGGAAAGTGGGAAGGGGGCACAAGGGGGTAGAAGTGGGGTTCCAAAGCCAGGCCTCATTTGCCTAACACTTCAACTGGTATCTCAAGTTGAAATGGCACTGTTCCCCTGCGCCTATCTCCCTGCTCTGGCCTGGGGCAGGGGTTTGGATGTGGTGGGGGCTGGGGTCTGGAATGGGTGGGGTAGGCTTGGTGCTTTATCTTCTGGAATGAGTGGGAGCTATAGCGTATTAGCTAAGTGCAATAAGCAAATCAAGTTCCCTTGCAAATCCTGCAAATGAGGGAAACTACCTGATAGGAGTAAACATGAAGGGGGAACAAGGCATACCTTGTCTAACTGCACTACGTAGATAGTGTTTTTGTTTTGTTTTGTTTTGTTTTTTTACAAATTGAAGGTCTCTGACGACCGTTATCGAGCAGGTCTATTGGCGCCATTTTCCCAACAGCATGTGCTCATTCTGTGTCTCTGTCACATTTTGGTAATTCTTACAGTATTTCAAACTTCTTCATTATTATATTTGTTATGGTGGTCTATGATCAGTGATTACAGTTTGCTGAAAGCTCAGATGATGGTTAGCATTTTTTAGCACTATATATATGTATTTTTAAAGATTTTATTTATTTAACAGAAACATAGCGAGCGAGGGAACACAAGCAGGGGGAGTGGGAGAGGGAGAAGCAGGCTTAACGACGGAGCCACCCAGGCGCCCCTTTTAGCAATGTATTTTTAAATTAAGGTGTGTACATTGTTTTTCTAGAATTGCTATCTCATACTTACTAGACTACAGTAGAGTGTAAACGTAACTTTAGCAGCACTGGAAAACCAAAAACTTCATTCGACTTGCTTTATTGCGACATTCGCTGTATTGCAGTGCCCTGAAAGTGAACCCACAATATCTCTGAAGTATGCCTGTATATCAATGATGGTTCAAGGAGGTGAAAAGGGCTCACACAGGGGCACCTGGGTGGCTCAGGTGTGGGGCATCTGCCTTCGGCTCAGGTCATGGTCCCAGGGTCCTGGGATCGAGCCCCGCTGTCGGGCTGCCTGCTCCGCGGGAAGCCTGCTTCTCCCTCTCCCACTCCCCCTGCTTGTGTTCCCTCTCTCGCTGTGTCTCTCTGTCAAATAAATAAAATCTTTAAAAAGGGGGGGGGCTCACACAATGCCAACAGCCCTCCTCCCTGATCTTTTACCCCCTGGAAGCACTGGCTTCCAGCTGCTTAGACTACGATCTGGCCAGATTGACAGTCTCACAGGAAAGAGCGCTTGCCTTCGCAGATCCAGGTTTTCTAATTTTGAGACAGATTTCTGATTGGCTTGGCTGAGGTCACATGCTCATCCCTGAGCCAGTCAGTGTGGCTGGGGGATGCAGAGCCCTGATAGGCTGGCTCCGAGTCACGTGCCCAGTTATATCACTCCGCTTCCCCCTAGCCACTCAGACCGAGTGTGGGGATGATGAGGTGGTTCACCCAAAGAAGGGCCTGGCGTGCAACCAGAATGTGGGGGGTGGAGCGGGGGTGGGGTGATTGACAGAGAGGCAAAACAGCAGATGTCCTCTACAGTTAGTTCTGGGCCAGAATAAATAATGAATCAGGGATCGAGTTAGCTTTTCTGGCCAGCCAGCCCATGGGTGCCTGCTTCCAACTGGCTGTTATAGGAGCCTTTGCTCGGATAAAGCCGTGTAGGGCTGTCCAGGAGGGAGGGAGCCTCAGTGTGGAAGCCATTCCCCCACCTGCCCACGTGACCCGGAGCTCAAAGCCGGAGACAGCCTGTGGTTGCTGGTGCCTGTGAGTGGTGCCCACATGCAAACGTGGCCGAGGTGTCCTGAAAGAAGGGCCGTGGTATCCTCGGCACGATTCCCAGATACCAGGCCACGCTACACTGGCTGTGTGTGCACCACTCTTCATTGCGTTTCTCCTGCCTGCTCATTAAAATGCCCATAGGCCCTGCAAGCTTTATTTCCGTGGCAAAAGAGGCCCAAAGAGTGACCACTAATGGGTCTGAGTTTCTTTTGGGGTGATAAAAAATGTCCTAAAACTGATAGTGGTCATGGTTGTACAACTCTGCAAATATACTAAAAGCCGCTGGTGTGTATACTTCAAATGGGGGAATTGTATGATACTTGAATTAAGTTACAGTAAAACGATTGCATAAACACATGTGCGCAAAACCAGCCCAGCACCCTGCAGGGTGCAGATGGATGAGGGGGCTCAAGAACGCCATGCCAGGGAAGAACCAATTTCTAGCCTTTCCTAGTGCCACTGAGCTGTGCTTATTGGGGGCATCTGTCAGAGCTGGGCCCTGGGCCCTATGAGCTGTGAAGTGAAAAGCAGCTGCTCAGCCAGGCTTGCTGCACAGGTCCTGCGACTGGCTCTGGCCTCCCATGTGGGGAGGGGGCATTTCTCAGGGGGGCTTTGGCCGAACCCCCAAGGCTTGTGTGTGGCTCTGCGGAGAACTCGGGGGAGGTGACTGCAGAGAGGTTTCTTGGGTGCTCTTCAAGCTGAAGGTCTGAGGATGGGGCTAACTGCCTCTTCTGTCAGAACATTAGAGCCAGGGGTCCGTGTAAACATTGACAGGCAACCCAGAGACATGGGGAAGGGGAGACTGGGATCAGAGAAGGGGGGGTGGAGGTCTTACCCTGTCCCTCCATGCTGGTGGCATCTAGACCAGCTGCTGCTTCATCAGCCACCCCTCCTGGACATCATTTTAGCATTTATTGAGTGCCTACTGTTTACCAGGTGCTGTTAAGTGCTAGGAATAAAGAGCCACATAAAACCTTGTTCCTCACCATAACCCTTGAGGCAGGCACAGGCCATGCCAGAACCCCTAATTTATGTCCAGATTTATTGTGGGATTGCAAAGAGGAGAGATGAGGAAGATCCAGTCTCTGCTTGTGTGATGTCTGCATTCTAGTTGGAACCCACTTAGGACAATGCAAATTAAAACCTCAACAGCACACCAATTTTCACCTAATAAGACTGGCAGAAATTTTAAAACTTGGAATCCAGCGCTGGTGAGGGTTTGGGGAACCCAGTTTCTACTGCCCAGTCATTGGGAGGAAGGAGTCCCGCTGCTCCCAGGCTGTACTTGGCAAAGCAAATTGCTGCCACATTGTGTTCAGGTAACTGAGCTCCGAGACAGGGGCTGGAGAAGGCCAGCAGAGGCCAGAGACAGACTCAAGGACTTTGAAGGGTAAAGGTTGGAGGGTCCAGCTTTCAGCGGAGGCTGAGACATTGACACTGAGGAGGGGGTGACAACGAGGCTCCCTCCCCTGCAATGGAGTGACAGCCCTCAGTTGGGGGAGTACCGGGTTCTGAACCCAGGGTTCCCACAGCTTCTGGACTGGACACGGGGCAAGGGCCTGCTGTAGATGGAGGAGCAGATGAGCCCGGGGGTGTGGGCTCCCAGGGAGCAAGTGCGTCTGGGATGCTGAGATGCTGTGTGGGCAGTCTGGCATTTCTCTGTGTCTGTGTGGGTTAACGGAGGTAGCTGCAGCTCTGGGTGAGCATGTGAGTGCGTGCTGTGTTTTATTCAACACACTTATTGAGCACCTGCTTTGAGCCAGGTGTCACAGATAACATAGATGAAGAACACAGACAAGATCCCTGCTCTCCTGATGTTTACGTGTGTGCAGGGAAGAGGGTTCAGAGAACAAAGGAAGGGGAAGAAATGAATAATCTGAAATTTCAGATAGTGGTAAGCACCGTGAAGAAAATAAAACAGTAGCGTGACTCAGAGTGGCGCTGCCAGTTTTAGATAAAGTAGCCGGAGAAGGCCTTTTGGAGGAGGTGACAGTTGGTCCAAAACTTGAATTTGGACCACGAACCAGGCAGGCCAAGTTCTTGGAGCAGAGAGAACAGCAAGTCCAAAGGCCCTGCTGGTCTGCGTGGGCTGCCGTGACAAAATACCACAGGCTGGGGGGCTGGAACAATAGAAATCTATTTTCTCACAGTTCTGGAGGCTGGAAGTCCTAAATCAAGGTGCCAGTCCCACTGGTTTCTCCTGAGACCTCTCCTTGGCTTGCAGATGCCACGGTATCTTCATGGGGCCTTTTTTCTTATGACCTCATTTAACCTTACTTATCTCTTTAAAGTTCCTATCTCCAAATACAGTCACATTCTAAGGTACTAGCCCTAAGGGGGTTAGGACTACAGCATAGGAATTTGGAGCGCACACAATTCAGCCCATAACAGGCCCTGAGGTAGCGATGGGCTTGGCAGGTTCAAGGCGAGGACAGGGTGACAGGGCTTCAAGTTGGGGTGCGGTGAGGGATGTGCTTTTAGGGTAGCAGGAAGCCCCTGGAAGCCCGTATGCCTCCTTGGGCCTCATGGCTAATCTGTGGGTGGTTTATGTGTGATTGTGCGTCTCTGGAGGGCAGAGGAAAGGGCGAAATCATGGCTTGGGTCTATGTCATGGCTGTTTTGGGGCCACAGAGTGGCCCGTGCACACTTAGTCTGGGAAGCAAGAACTGCCTGTTTCCCTCCCCACCTGAGCTCCCTTTCCTTCTCTTCTCTTCAAGAATTAAAGGCTGGTGGGTGTCTCACCACTATGTGTCCACGTTCCTCTCTGGAGTGATGCTGACCTGGTGAGTGTCTCATGGGGTCCCGTGAATGGGGAGCTGGCCGTGGGGAGGGCGTGCCCTCGAGGCTCCTGGCCTGGGCTGACTTTTGGGCCAAGAAGAAAAGGGTGAGCTTACAGCCAGGCCGCAGGGATTCCCCCCAAGCCAGCTGGGAGGTTTCTGGGGATGTCCCATTGGTCTACCGGCTGGGACAGAGGTGACAGAGAGCAATGGACAGAAAGAGTACAGGGATGAGGCTCGAAAGGAGACAGATGAAGAGAGTGGGCATCAGCAAGAATTCAGGCTTCAGAATGATGATATAGGCCCCCCTGCTTCTAGAACAGGCTTAAAGAAATGAAAGTAACTGGTCCAGCCCCAGGGGCACTGGTGCTAAAGAAGGGCAGAAATCAGGGACCTCCATTTCATTTTAAAAGCTTTTCTTCTCAGGGTGCCTGGCTGGCAACTTTTGATCTTGGGGTCGTGAGTTTGAGCCCCACTTTGGGTGTAGAGATTACTTAAATAATTTTTTTTTTTTAATTAAAAGCTTTTCTTCTCTCTTGGCAGGAACGGAGAGGGACAGGGATGAATGTTTGATTTCACAGCACATTTCACTTTTACTTTTCCCCACTTCTCTGCAGGCCCAACGGACTAATTTATCAGAAGTTTCGTAATCAGTTTTTAGCATTTTCCATTTTTCAGAGTGAGTGCCTCTTGCCTCGATTCAGGGGAGGGGGTGTGGTTTCCTGGGCTTTCACTGATGGAGGCCCCTGTCATCCCTCCCCCCTGTGAGGGGCGTGTCTAGTGTGGAAGGGAGCTTGGGGCAGGGGAGGGTCCCAGAAATCCAGCAAAGAGCTGTCTGCCCCCAGATCACCGCCCAGTCCTGGGGGAGGGGCGGCCTGATCGCCCCCACTCCCAGGAGCCCCCATCATTGCCTTTTCTTTCCCATGTCACAGCTGGGGACCAGTGGTGACTTTTGGGAACTGAGTAGTGTTGGGGGCACTACCTCAAAATGGAAATAGAGCATATGTTCTTTTTCTCATTTAAGAATAGCTCTGGATTGGGGCTCCTGGCTGGCTTAGTCAGTAGAGCGAGAGACTCTTGATCTTGGGGTTGTAAGTTCAAGCCCCATGTTGGGTGTAGAAGTTGCTTAAAAATAAAATCTTAAAAAAAAAATAATAGCTCTGGATTTATATACAGTGAACTGGCCTTAGGGGTTCCCTCTGAGAAGGGGGAGCTTGGATAGTTGGGGGTAGGGACAGAGAGAGGTGTTTTTTTTTTTTTTTGCCTTCAGGAGCATGTTTATTGTGTTTGAGATGATACATCAGGTGCTCTCTGAGCTACAAAGGGGTAAAAGGAAATCCTCTCATTACAAACTGACAAAGGTAAAAGGTAAAACATTTTTCACAACAGCATGAACCACATACTCAGAAATAGATCTGGGTTTAATACAGATGACATAATTCCTGGTCGTCTACGGCTACTTTTATAACTTCATACAGATAATGAATTAGGCTAAAATGCACTATAAGAATATTTGGTAGACTTCAGGACCAGTATCCTTAGTACATCACAAAATACATTTTGATATCCCAAACAAGCAAGACTTGCAAGTAGGCGTTTTAAACATAACTAATCTACAGATACAAAGTTCTACTCTTGATAGCATTTACCTTTTTGGGGAGTCTCCCAGTCTCCTCCAAAGGATAAAAACAGAGAGTAGAATCAGTATAACATATACACAGAAGTCCGTATTGTAAAGAGAGTTTTGTTTTTTACCAAGTACTTGTTTGTTCCCTTTGAATTTTGTGTGCATAATACTGATTCAAAAAATACAATTTTTAAATAAAACCCTGCCAACAAATAACAAGTCTCTAATGCCAAGAATGAAAATTATATATAATCTCAGCCTTAAGAGTGATCACTTTTAATAGATCTATGTCCTTTCAGTTTGATTCATATATACATATATACTGCATTATGTAGTCTATAAATATGGGATCACTTTGTACAAATAGCTTTGCTTACAATCTGTTTATTTTTCTTTTAACAATAATGATGGGTATTTTTCTGTCGATACACAGAATTCTACCTCCTCATTTTTAGTAACTACTAAGTATCCCATTGTTTGAAAGTGTCTCTTGCTGTCTTGGCATTACACACAGCTCCCGGCATGGTGCCACCATCCCAGCAAGCGTCAGCTCTAGAAGTTTCCAATCTCATTGGTGCTTAGTTGGGTCTTCAGATAACCTACTCTCGTATTCTGGATAAGGGATAAAGTGGGTTCAGGCTGAAGAGTGTGTGCGTGTGTTGGGGTGAGAGAGGGTTGCCCTTTGGCCTGGAAGACCCCTGGGTCTGCGCGGAGGTGGTCCTCCAGGCCCTGAGCTAGGCGCTGTGCTCCCCCTGCAGGCTGTGTCCAGTTCCTGCAATATTATTACCAGAGGGGCTGCCTCTACAGGCTTCGTGCCCTGGGGGAGAGGAATCATCTGGACCTCACCGTGGGTGAGTAACCCAGCCTGGGGAGGGGAGATGGGGTGGGGGACAAGTACCGGCCCCTCCCTGCTCCCCCAGACCTCACTGCTAACTTCCTACACTGGGAGCATGAGCCAGTAAGAACATAACAAGACCTACCACACACAAAGCCAGGGTTTCAGGCTTCTACCTAAGTTGCTTTTCATAATTCATCGTGGATTCTGTTTCCGCCGACAAGTTTGAGGCCAGCTGTGAGCCAGGCCTCGATGCTGGCTTCTGTCTCCTCCTTTTTAAATGTCTATTTTTTTTGGTCTGTGTTTTATAATACACATAATTATATATGAATAAATATATATGCATGTTGTTGTGCATGTATAACTTAATGTGTATAATATGCCTACATATAGGGGCGCTGGGGTGGCTCAATCTGTTAAGCATCTGACTCTTGATCTCAGCTCAGGTCTTGATCTCAGGGTCATGAGTTCAAGCCCCGAGTTGGGCTCTATGCTGGGCGTGGAGTGTACTTAAAAAAAATCTGGCCACGTATAAATATGTATAGACACATACATGTATATACACTGGGAATGTGTGCTTAACTATTTTTAATTTATATATATGTATACATATATATATATTTTTAGAGGGAGAGCAAGGGAATGTGGTGGGGAGGGTCAGAGGGGGAGAGAGAAAATCTTTTTTTTCTTTTTTTTTTTAAGATTTTATTTATTTACTTGACAGAGAGAGACAGAGAGAGGGAACACAAGCAGGGGGGTGGGAGAGGGAGAAGCAGGCTTCCCGCCGAGCAGGGAGCCCGATGCCAGGTTTGATGCGGGGTTGGATCCCAGGACCCTGGGATCATGACCTGAGCCGAAGGCAGACGCTTAATGACTGAGCCACCCAGGTGCCCCGAGGAGAGAGAAAATCTTGAGCAGGCTGCACGCTCAGCTTGGAGCCCGACTTGGGGCTCAATCTCAAGACCCTGAGATCATGACCTGAGCCGAAAAAAGGAGTCGGACACTTAACCAACTAAGCCACCCAAGCACCCCTGTGCTTAACTTTTTTTAACTCATGGGTCAAGTGCCCAGTCAGAAGAGCTTGGAGAGCTCTTGTCTCAACTTTCACAGGAAACTAATAAAATTCTGCCATCTTTTGAGATGGTCATTTCTACTGAATTACTCTGCAAAGTAGGCCCTACTTTGTCAAGACTCAATTGAAGTGACACGTGCAAAAGTCCATTATAAAAAGCAAAATTCCATGCAAATTAAAGACATTATTAAAAACCAGTGCCTGGCATGTCAGCTTTCTCTAAGTGTTGTCAAGACCTGTAAGTCGTGGTGACTTGCGTGAGAGCAGTCAGGGCCCGTGACAGGTGTTGTGCATGCTCTCTGGGTGATCTTCAGAGTTGAGTGCTCACCCACTGATGATAGGTGGGGGCTGTCCCCCCTGCCCCATGTGGCTAATCTCGGGGGACTGGCATGGCCAGGCAGTTGGCGCTTGGTGGGGTGGTGGGGGCACCTGAACCCCCTCCCACCGGCCCTTTGCGACCTCCTTCTCTCCACAGAAGGATTCCAGTCCTGGATGTGGCGGGGCCTCACCTTCCTCCTGCCTTTCCTGTTCTGTGGCCATGTGAGTCCCCTGGAGTTTGTGGGGATCCCCTGTTCTGGGCTGACCCCTGGGAACAAAAAGTCTTCAGGCCTCTCCCTCATTCACCAGCCATCCCTGAGCTGGGCCCCACGGGGTCCTGGGGCAGAGACGGTCCCTGGGCCCTGGACGCCAAAGGCAGAAGCCGGAAGTGGCCCATAGCACCAGCATGCTGAACCCCAGATCTTCAGGCTGCTCTGGCCTAGGGTGCCCCAGTTTCATTTTGGGGGGCTCTCAGTGTCTTAGGACAGTGGATACCAGAAGCTGGGGGCCTGGTCCACTCCCGGGGCTTTCTCACATGGGTCTCCAGGGGAATCAGTTGGGGTGAGTGGTGCCTGCCTCCTCCCCTCTTTCCAGTTCTGGCAGCTCTACAATGCCGTCACGTTGTTTGAGCTCTCCAGCCATGAGGAATGCAGAGAATGGCAGGTATGGTGTGTGTGTGTGTGCACGCAGGCGTGTGCATATGCCGGTGGTGCGGGCGGCGGGGGTGGTGGTCCTGGGGAAAGCTGGGCCAGCTTGGAGAGAATTCTTAGCCACCCCTTTACTCCCCATCATGGGGCCCAGTTGCCCAGAGCTCCCTGCTACTGGGGCCTGGGAGACTGTGGGAGGGAATTTGGGAGGCCAGGGAGCCCCTAAGTGGTCTGAGAACCCTATTGAACGCTATGGGGGTGCCAAAGGAGAAGCAGCCCTCCCGGGCCCTGCATGACCCTGAGGACTCACACCCTTCATGCAATTGGCCCAGACCTCTGCTTTCTGCCGTGGGAACTCTGCAGTTTGCTGGTGGCTTGTGCTAAGGCGCTTGTGAGGTCCCGGGGTGGGGGTCGGGGGTGGGCAGGGGGGCATCTCGGCGGGGAGCTGATCCGAGCTGGCTCAACCTTTCCTTCCTTTCCTCTCCTCCCCCTGCCGCCCCGGCCGGTCCCCTCGCACGCCCCTGCCCAGGTGTTCGTGTTGGCGCTCACGTTCCTTGTCCTCTTCCTGGGCAATTTCCTGACCACACTCAAAGTCGTGCACGCGAAACTTCAGAAGAACAGAAACAAGGGGAAGAAGCTGTGAGCCAAGGGACCCGTGCGTCCCCTCTCCCCCCCCCCCCCCCCCCCCCCCCCCCCCCGGGGTTCAAGACCGGGGGGGGGTTCCAGCTGGCACGATTTCTCCCCACAGTGTCTGTGGCTACTGCCAGCAGCCGGCTCAGGGGCCAGCGCGGGGCTGGGGGAGGGCGGGGAGGGGGCAAGGCCCCGGTCCCCGGCAGACAAGGGCGCTGTGACCCCTGCCTGTCTGCACGGCGTTCGCCTGCCCCAGCCTCCCTGTTTATGACGTATTACTACGGGCTCCTCCCGACTGCCCTAGAACCTGCAGTCTTCCCTCGCTGCCGTCTTGGCTGCGGCTGAGCCTGGGTCAGTCTTCCTGGGGTGGGGGTGGGGGGGCCTAAAGCCTCAGGGAGCCCCTCAGGTTGGGGTCTGGGGTGCCCACCGGCTACTTCGTGATCCCCAGCGGGCGGAAGGATACCCCTCGGCGGCCTGTGGGGCCTCCCGCCTCGGGGCACACCGCTTCTGCTGTAAGCTCTCCACGCTGCTCCGCGGTGGGGCTATTTAAGTTCTCGGAGAACCACTGTCTGTCTGTGCCTTCTGCTCTTTGCGCTCCCCGAGTCTCCAGCCTGTGCGCCACCTGCGCACAGCTGCCCGCCCTCCCCGACGGCGTGGCCCCTGGGGTGGGCCCGAGGCGGGACGGTTTGCAGTGACCACCAGAGGACGCCCCAGCCTCGGCATCCCTTGGGTGGTTTGAGGGGGGTTTTTTGTTTGGTTTTTTTTTTTTTCACACTTGAGTTTGGCTTCCTGACCCCCACCCCTCAGCCCACTTCCCGGAATTCTTGCACTGAGTTCTCAGAGAGTGGGTCTTCAGCGCTGGCTGAGACTTAAGGCATCATGGAGCTTGCCCACCCTCCCCGCCTTCCTCCCTTCCCCTGAGGTTCTGGAATGCGGTGGGGAGAGTCTGAGCAGGCTCCCTTCCAGGAGGTGGCACCCAGGAGGCCGGGACAAGACTGCTGGTCACCTTGTGTCCGATTCTGTATTTGTGGGAGGGTGAAGAAGCTAGCAGATTTGGTTGAATGTTCTGCCCCTGCTCCATACACCAGCCGCAGCCTTTCTCCCACACGTGGGTCTCAGCTACCCTTAACTACCTCCCTACAAATCCCCTCTGACCAGAGTTCACAGCCCGTGTCCATAGTCATGCTTTGGCCCCCAGAGGAGTTGAAGCTTTCTTAATTGTTAATTTAAAAAAAAATATATGAAATTTCCCTTCCACCCCAGTAAGAGTCGACATAAAAACCCAGATTTCTACCTTCCCTAGAAAAATGGAAAGCTCTTGGCTGGGCTGAGCTGCCTGCCTGGGATGGGGTGCTTGCTTTCTAGTGTGCCACAGACCCCACCACTCCCTTTTATACCTGTCCTTTTTCCCTCACTTGGGTCTTCCCTCGGGCCCTGAGGCACTCGGGTTTTCCTTGGACTAGGAGTCAGCAAACTTTCTGTAAAGGGCCAGATAATCTGTCACAGTTTGCCTCGTCTGCAGTTCTAGGGCCAAAGCAGCCAATGCCCAAATAAATGAGTGTGGCTGTGTCCCAACAAAACTTTATTTACAAAAACACACAGCTGCCAGATTTGGTCCACAGAGTATGGTTTCTAACCTCTATCCTGTACCATCACTTGTCCACGAGCCCTTGGATTAAGTGCTCTTTGGACTCCCCAGGGCATGGCAGGGCCTTGGGGAACCAGGGTGGGGTGAGGTGGGATGGGGTGGGACACAGGAGTCTCTCTCTTAGCAGCTGACGTCAGAGAGGCTCAGGCTTAGTAGGTGCTGAGGCAGGAGATCCCTGGGAGGGCAGGAGCCACCTCAAGCCATTATCCCAGGTTCAGTAACACTGACTTGTAGCTCACTCAGGAAGCAAGCAGCTCTCAATCTCCGGGGCAGTGGCATCACCTGAAGCACTTGTTTAAAAACTCCTGGCCCCAGACCTTCCAGAAGGTTCAGTGAATCTGCAGCTGGGGGTTGCGTGTTCTCGTAGGAAGCCAGGATAGTCTCAGCTTGGCAGAAGTGGGGGCTGTGAGGGACCAGAGGGAGCGTGATGACTATTAAAATGAGTCAGTGCTGTCCTTTTGCAGATAGGGCAACAGTCTGTAGAGAGAAGGGACTTGCCCATGATCATTTGGGGCTGATGTCACTTTCTGTCTTGAGTTTCCGGCAGTGGGGGGTTGCAGGTGAGGAGCCCCTGGGCAGGGGCTGGATGGGTGGTCCAGGGTACTTTCTGCTTCTTGAAAGAGTCTCTACTCCCCCTTGGGCATGTGCACCCAGCTCTGGAAAGATGGCAGCCCAGCCAAAGGCGGAGACTGAAGTCCTCTGGGGGTGAGGGGTGGGGGCCGGTGCCAGCCCCCAAGTCCGGGGCTGGTGTGTGTGCTGTCCCGATAAGTCCCCGTCCCATTGTGGCCCCCGTGTTCCTGGAGGAAGGAAGCCAGAAGCTGGAGGATGCAGCCGTGCCTATCTCGAGCCCAGGGAGGCGGGTGACGCGGAGTAGCGGGCTTGAGGGGGGCCGTGTGGAGCGCTGACAAATCCACATTTATCCACGTACCAGATGTAGTTGTTTGTTTCAAGCACAGGCTTTCAGGACCTATCGGGTGTGCAAAGGGGGAACACACATGGCTGGGGGGAGGCTGTGTACTCCCAAGTCCTAGGGACAAATGCTGCTTCTAGGGTACAGAGAGACTGAGTCCGGCACCCTCACCCCCCTCCATGCAGGCCCAGCTCCCGGGGGAACCTGGAGGTGAGCTCAGGGTCAGAGCCCCAGCTGGGGAAGGAGAGATCTCCAGAATGTTCTAAGAGTCTAGCCACAGGCTCCAGACACAGGGAGACACCCAACTCAAAGTGCCGCTGGGAAGCTGGGGACGGAGCAGGATCTCGGGGTGCAGTCCGGGCCTGGCAGCCTGGGCCCTGTCAGTCTTGCATGAGGGCTGTGTGCCCTGCCCGGAGGGGTCAGAGCAGCAAACACAACGGGCGTTTCTGCCGCTGTGCTTTCTTCAGAGCACTGAGGGCAACCTTGGCCGCCGCTCGGAAGACATCCTCCACGTTCTCCCGAAACTTGGCAGAACATTCCAGGTAGAGGGCGGCTCGGATCTGTTCGCAGGCACTCTGGCCCTGGGGAGCGGGGAGGGGCCGGCATTAGATGAGGGGCCTGGAGCATGGGGCACCTCCTGACACCCCCCCCATGGATTTGGGAACTTGGAGCTGGCTTTGGGGGCTCTCCGAAGGGAGGGTGGTCTTGGTGAGGAGCCCCCTTCCCCCCACCCCAGGCCCAGCCCCCAGCAGTGTGTGTGGATGGAACGGAAGGGCCTGTGGTGCGGCCCAGGGGCTCCGGCGGTGGCGGCTGGAGAGAAGCCCCATCCTGCCTCTACCCTGCCCTCCCTCCCACCTCAGGCCCCATGTAGGCAATGGAACTGGCGAGGACAGTAAAAACTAGCTCTACTTCTAAAATTTACTTTTATTAATGCTTCTTCCTTTTTATTAAACTTTCTTACTAGTTTTCCTTTGTGTTCCTTTTATTGTCCCGTCCCATGCCTCGCCCAGAAAAGCCGCGGGGTTTGGTTTTGCCCAGGACTCTCACGGAGAGGGGATCCCTGCTCTCGAACAAGGCCTGCCCCTCCAGTACCCTGGGGCAGACGGGGCAGTATCCTGGCTACGCTGCACGTCCGCTGTATGACTCCCAACCTCTTCACCCCTCCGGGGCTCAGGTTCCTCCCGTAAAACAGGGGATGCGAACAGTCCGCGCCTCCGGGTTATAAGGATGAAATGAGGTAGGGAAGCAGAGGGAGGGGGGAGAGCGGAGACCCCTTCCTGACCTGCATGTAGGTGATGGGCTCCAGCTGGGCGGCCCGGAGCTTCCGAAGCTGCTCCTTGTCTTTGCGCAGGTCTGTCTTGCAGCCAATGAGCACCATGGGGGTCCCACGGCAGAAATGTGTGACCTCAGGGAACCACTGCGGAGGGAGAGGGCAGGCGTCAGGGCTGAGGCCAGATCCGTGGGCCCCACCCCTGAGGCAGGCTGGCTGGGTCACGGGCCTCACCTTGATGAGGACGTTGTCATAGCTGGTGGGGTTCATGACGTCATAGCAGATGAGCACAAGGTGGGTGTTCTGGTAGGACAGGGGCCGCAGCCGGTCATAATCTTCCTGCCCTGAAATGGGAGAGGAGGTAGGGGTCAGGGAGGCACCACCTCCTTGTCCACCTGAGTCCCCTGTCTGGGCTCTGTCTCCAAGGCCTCGGTTTGCTCATCTGTAAAACAGACGTGGCAGCCCACAGTAGCAAAGGTTCCAGGAGATAAAACCCATGCGGTGCTCAGAACCGGGTCTGATTACAGGGTAATCAGGAGAAGCTGGAGAACCTGCTAGCAATTATGTCCATGGCAATTACTGCGCTGCCCGCCGCCCCCCCCGCCCGCCAAATCAACTCCCCTCCGGGAAGAAGGTTGTGGGGGCTGGGTGGGACCAGGCCACTGCAGGATCTGGGAGGGGACCCCCCCAGGCTGAGAGGCGGGGCCTCGGGTTGAATTCCTCCTGCCCTTCTGGCACATCCCAGGAGGAGAGTGCTGGGTGGCTGGGCACAGCTGCTGTCAGGCTCACCTGGGGAGTCAGCTGGTGCTTGGCCCTCCTCTGCACCGACTGAATCAGACGCCAAGGCTGGGTGTGGTTTTTTAATGCTTTTTAGTAATTTTTTTAACTGACAATTTCAAACTTACAGAAAAGTTGCAAAAAGGATGCCAAGAACTCCCTCAGATTCCTGAGTATTTACATGTTGCCCCACTTGCCCTTTGTACACGTAAAAACCCTTGAGCAGGCGAGAGTCATTGCGTACATTCTGCAGCTTCACCCCAGCAGAGTCCTTGCGGATTTCTAAGAACAGGCGTGTCCTATCACCTCCTGTAGAACTAGCAAGCTGGAGCAACCACCACGGGTGCCGGGCTCTAACCCAACCCACGGGCTGCACTCAGATCTCAGCGGTGATGTCCTGTGGTCGTTCTGCCCCGGTCCAGAAGCAGGCCCAGGATGATGCCCTGCCCTGAGTCACGGGTATGCCCTAGTATTATTTAAAAACTCCCCCAGTGAGAACTGAGAGCCTTCTGGGCTCCCTGGCAGCTCTCCAGCCACCTCTGCAAAGGCAGAAAGGTGACTTTCTTCCAGGACTTGGAACACAGAGGCCCAGGAGTCCCCGGCCCCTCCCCCCACCCTGGGGGCGCCTGGGTGGTGCCAGCTTGCCCTCCTCCCTCCCTGCCAAAGCTGGCCTCTCCATTGAGCAAGGACAGGCCACAACCTCGTCCTCCTGGCCCCCAGCTGCTGCCAGGGACACTGCCACGCTCCGCCTTCCCCCTGGCTGTCCCTCAATCCAGGACTCCTGTGGTGTGCAGTGTGACCGAGACTCAGCTAGGACAGAGGCTGGGCCAGGAGGACTCCATGCTGCCATTCAGCCAGAGTCCCCCCAACACTGTGGAAGGAGTGAGGGACTGTCAGGGACCGGCCGACTCAGACTCTCCTGCCCTCATCACCAAGCTGGAGAAATCCTTGTAACTGCTGGGAAACCCACCCAGGATGCTGCTCCAGCCCAGCTCCTCCAAACTGTCCCCTCTCCTAATCTTGGTCCACGTCTTTCTAGACGTGCTGTCCAATGGGGTAGCTGCTAGCCCCATGCGGCTATTTAAATTAATTAACATTAAAAATTCAGGTTCTCCATTGCACCAGCTACATTTCAAGTGATTAATTGCCACACAGGGCCAGTGGCTCCTGGGACGGGCAGCGCGGGTGCAGGACATCCCATCGCTGTAGAAAGTTCTATTGGACAGCATGGCACCATCCCCGTCCAAGGCACCGCTGGTCTCCCATGATCTGCTGCTGCCCCTCAACAATCCATTCTCCACCTGGCAGCTGGCTGGATCTAAGACATAAGGAAGATCCTGCCTCTCTCCCTCCAACGAAGAATACTTTCAATAGCTCCCTATTGCCCTTAGTATAAAATCCAAACATCTCCCAAGGGTCCACATGACCTGGCACCCACAGACCTGACCTTTCCCCCACCAAGCCCCCCGACCCCTGCTGTTTCTCAAACCCACCAAGCTCTTGTGCCCCAGAACCTTTGTACTTGCTGTCCCCCCGCAACCTGGAATGCCTTCCCTACTCACCGCCCCCCATTTTCTTCTTAGCATTTTACTTTAAAACATTCAAACTGAATGTCCACATTATTTCCCTTTTCAGGATAATTGTCTTCTCTCTACCCCCTCACAATAACACCACTTTATGCTTTATACGCTTTTTAGAGCGCTTCTGCCTATGAACCGTTAAGAAATCCTTGCAGCCATCACCTGATGGGCTAGACAGGAAGTGAAGAATATTTCCATTTACACAGAAACTGAGCTTCCGAGAAGTGACTTGCCCGAGGTCACTGCCGCAGTCGCCCAGCCAGGGCCCGACCCCAGTCCAGCAGGGTCCTGGTCGAGCACTCCTCCTGCTGATAGCCAGCAACGCTGTTTTGCTTTGCATTGTGCCAACATAGGTTCTGGGCCCCTACGACGTAATGATGAAGCTCCTACTTCTGGTACAATGTGCATGTCTATTCCCCGTTAGAAATCTGGCAGGAGTGGACAAGTAGCTGTAAAATGGGCCTCCTGTGCTCTGTCGGCTTCCCTCATCCTGACCGGCGGGCTCCTCAGAGAGGCCTTCCCTCACCACGCAGCATCTGCCCCCCGCCCCAGGTGTCCACAACCTGGGCCTGTCTCCCTGGGGCCTGTCAGCGCCCTGAGCGCAGGGACCACATCTGTCCTTTAAAATCATCCCTGGCGCCTGGCAGGCGTCCAGTCAGGCCTGGCTGCTTGCTGCCTGAAGCCGTTCCGCTCTCGTCAGATGCAGCAGAAAGCAGGGCTGCGCGGGGCCAGGGAGTTTAGCAACTCTGGCTTGGGGAGGATTTCAGTGCGCTGGCTGCAAGGAGGAAGTCAGACTGAGCCCCCCTCCCCCGCGGCCTCTGCCCTTGCCCGTCCCTCGTCCCTCTTCGAAAGGTTCTTGCCCAGGTAGCAGCATGCCTTGCTCCCTCCTTTCCTTCAGGTCTCTGCAGAAACGTCACCTCCTCCGGGAGAGCTTCCCTGACTACTGCCCCATGCCCGACCATAGCTCTATTATTCTTCTGAGTACATGTCACTCCCTGCTGCTGGGTTTTGGTTTGGTTTTGTCTGCCCCATGAGCAGAGAAGACCCTGAGGACAGTTATAGCCCCTGGGACACAGGCGAGCTCAGTAACTGTTGGGTGAATGAACGAACAAACACGTGAGTGTGTGAATATGGGCTAGTGATAACCTTTCTGGCTTTCAGCAAGAGTATTTCACTTCGGTCACCTGGGTTCACTGAAGCAGCCACCCTGGGAGGTACGCTAGGCCGAGAAAGTTCTTCCTGTAAGGAGCCCATGTGGCTGAGAGGGGCCTTTTCCAAGGTCATAGACAGGTTCCCTGTGAGCTGGAGTGCCAACTCAGTCAGCTCCAAGGTCAGTGTCTGCCACGCAACTCTAAAATTGCCAAAAATTCTCTCAGGAAGCCTTTCCTGGACTTCCCAGCTGGGAATCAACCTCTGGACCTTGTTGCCTTACAAATGGTTTCCTCACCTGTGAAATGGGTATGTGAGAAGCAGGTGAGCCTTGATAACGATACGAAAAAGAGTGAATATCAACAACACATGTCGGCAATAGGCTCCCTCGTTATGAAGGCTCATTATGCTCACTCATGGCTTCACTTGAAGCCCGTTGCCTGCACTAACCCGTCATTCCTCATTACGATGCTAACAAGGTAGGGCTCTTGTCATCCCCATTTTACAGATGCAGAAACTGATGCACAGAAAGGTGAAGTGAGTCGCCTTAAGGTCACACAGCTAAGGGGACGCTCTGTAAAAGAGAGAGGACCAAGGTAAGACTACTGGGGGTGCCTCTATCTCAGTCCACTCCAGAGGGTAGGGACCCTACAGCCCCAGGCCTGACCAAAAGGCTGCCAACACAGGTATCTCGAGAGAGAGAGAGGGGGGCTCTGGGAGGGAATGGGCAGCCAGCCCAGATCCTAGCTCTCTCCTCCAGGCTGCCTTCCTGACTTGATTGTGCCTGGCTCAACTTTTCCCAAGATTCAGTGTGGACCTCCACGTGGGGACCAGGCCTGCAAATGATGAACATGTTGACCTCATGTCCCCTTGGGAGACGTGGAGGGTCGTGGACGCCTCTCCTGTAGGAGTCAGGAGAAACAGGCTACACTCAGACTCACGTTCTGTGACCTGGGTGCCTTCTCTCTCTGGACCTCAGTTTCCTTATCTGGCAGAGGCGGTGATAGCCCTGTCTCTGATACTGGAAGTAAAGGACTTGTAGGCTAAGCAGTGCCGAACAAAGGTGAAGGACTGTTACTAGGGTTACTATTAAGACAGAAACTTCCAGGGCCTGGGGGCCTGGGCGGGGATCTAACCCCAGATCTTCAGACCCACAAGCTTTAGGGGGCCCCCCAGGCACAAGGTGATAGTATTACCCTCCCCATTTACCCACACTGATGCCAAGACTTAAAAGGGGCCAAGTCACCTGTCCAGTGGCACTCTGGGGTCCCACTCTGGCCTTTGCAGATGGGCTTGCACGGAGTTACGTGCAAAGGGATGCGTTTGTTTCTAGCAAGGAAAGATCTTCTGGGCCACAGCTCCCCTTGAAGTGGCCCATTTTCCTGAAGCTGGTGGGGCTGTGGGGCGGGGAGGAAGTGAGGCTCTCTCTCACTTAGCACAAGGGTTATTTCCTTTGTGGGAAGGAGCTTTGTTGTGTCAGTCACTTTCCAGGGGCAGGGGTCTCTAAGGCCTGGAGCTAGGCTGAGAAGAGGGTGTCACTGGGCCACAGTGATCCCCATATCTGCTGGCCACAGAGAGAGCAGGTGGTTCCCAGCTCCAGCCAGGGCGTTGGTCAGGGGAGGGGCGCAGGCCACATGAGAAGGGGAAGCTGCCAGAAGAGGAACCCACTTACTGCTATTGGGGTCCGCCCACCTGCGTTTCCTCCCCAGAGGCGGGAGCGGCTGGGGCAGCCCCAGCCTGGAGCCCACGTTCTGAATGGCCCGCAGCTTCAGCTCTTCAAGCCCCCAGGGCTTCTGGCTCTTAAGACATCCCTCTGCTCCCTGATTCCCTGTCTCAGCAACTCCTTTGCCCCCCACCCACCCACTGTTCCTATTGTTCCCATCTCAGGCTGGGAAGGGGACCACAGCTCCCTACCTCCTGGGCCAGAGGTGGCCCTGTGACGCCCCACCCCAGGACCCCACCCCAAGGCCCAGAGAGCTCCAGCTCTAGTTGGTGTCTTAACAACCCACCTTACCTCCACCTCCCCTCTGCCCAGGAAACTTCAGACTGCACCACAGCTTCCTGCCTCTGAGGGTGTCAGGGCCCACAGCAGGCAAGGCTGCTAGGGCAAAGTGCTCACTGTGTCCGCCTCCCCTTCACCTGTCAGCAGGGAGAGCTCTGTCACCCCTCCACCCAGCCTCCCACTGCTGTGGCATCTGTATCTGCTTCTGCAGGATGGAGACAAGCAGCCAGACTGGTCTCCCAGGGGCCACCCCTGTCCCATAGCTCTGGTAACTGGCGGTTGGCTGGAAAGATGCCACTCTGCACCACCATCCCCCACCATGGGGTCTAGCTCAGCAGGTTCCAGAACCTTCTACAACAACCTTTATGAGACTCGTCTCCAGCTCAGCCACTCCCCTCACCCCCTTAGTCTCTTCCTCTAGTTGGTCCCCTGGCCCTCCTTTTTTGCCACTGATTTTTTATCTCCATCCGCCATGGGTAGAGACAGTTTCACTGCCTTTATCATTCTCCAGGAGCACCTCTGCCTCCAAATCTCTTCTGCATTCATTCCTCAGGCACCGTGCTGGGTGCTGGCATATGGAAGAGGAATGACCCAGTCTCTCCTTCACGGTCCTTGAGACAGCGCTTCCTGGGTCACAGCGGGACACCCCGGAAGGAGCGGCCACGTTTCTTTCTCCCTGAGTATTTCTCCTTGGGCTGTCCTGCTGACCGTGAAGCCTGTCGACTTCCCTAGGACTCCACGGAGTCATTCAACCCGCAGCTCTGTTTCTCTGCGACTTGCCAGAGTCCTTTGGGGAGGGTCGGGGGAGGCAGCTCGGAGCTCTGCAGGCCTTCGATTCAGAACAGGTTGGGCTTGGGTCTGAGCCTGAATGGCCGGGCGGGGGTTGGGGGTGGTGGCCTTAAAAAATCATGACAACACTTAGCCCTTCCCCACAGCCGACCCCTGTGTTACACATCACATGGGTCTAGTATAATCCTCGAGACTTAGTTAGCCCTGATTACTGATGAGGAAACTGAGGCCCAGAAGACACATAGCCAGGGAGCCAGCATCTAAGCCCAGGTCTGATTCCAAAGCATGGGGCAGGAAGATCATCATCGCTGCGGTGTCCCCGTGCCTCTGATGACTGGGCCTGGAGCCCCTCCAATTCCTCCTGCAGCAGCTGTGAGCGCAAATTCTTCTTACACCAAATGGAAACCTTCCGGAACCTCCACACCACAATCTGCCCTAACATGTTCTTTGAGCATCTTTCTCTGGCCGAGGCCACAGAGGCCAGAAATGGTCCCTGTGCTGGGTCTGATGGGGGAGGCTTCCATGAACAGTGAACCCTAGGGATCTGATAGGAGAGGCCCTGAGGTCCCAGAGGACGGAGGAGAGTGAAAACCATCCTGTGAACTCTCCCTGCCTCACCAGCACGTCACCCACAAAGTGGGGCTGATGGGGCTGCCCCTCCCTGGGTCCCCGACAGGAAGTATGTGAAACTAAAAGTATCCCAGACACACTTAAGTTTTACTGCTCTTATGGCTACGCCCCTGGGGAATTTCTCAGCAACCTTTGGCTTTCTCAGTTCACAGGACTGGAAGCAGGGCCCTGCTCAAGGGGCAGCGGTTTGGGGTCCTCATCCAACAAGGGGGGGGGTCCTTAGAAGCCACTGTAGGGTGGGTCCCACCATACAGTAAAGGCTGCTGAAGTCAGGAACGGAGGAGGAGTCTGGGGACGATCCCTCTTCTGATTCCCTCCAGGGTGGAGTGAGAGATGCTCCTCGCCGCCTGGGGGTGGGGCAGTCTGGCTTTTGGCTCCATCCAAGGCCAGTGGAGACTTCCCCTCACATGGACAAGGCTTGGCTGGCAGTGGACAGGGCACCTGGTGACGTGGTTCCACACAGGTCACTAAACCCTGAGTCAGAGAGGTTGGGTGAGGTCCTGACCTTTGTCCGCCAGTGTTGTTGGTTCAGCCCCGAAGGGGATTGAGTGCAGGATGGAAGCTTCCTGAGGGCAGACGCCTGGCGCACGCCCCCCCCCCCCACCCCGCGCTGCAACGGGGACTCTGATAACTGACCCGATTAGCATAAATCCACTTGCATTAGGAGCTGCAGGTGGCCAAGAGAACCTTATTCTGGACTTAGAGCTCTGTTCCTTCCTCAGTGCTTGGTTTATCCCCAGGGAACCAGGGAGACACAGAAATGTAGCCGGAATCCTAGAACTACAGGCTCAAAACTGAAGACCACAGAATTCCAGAACCATGTACTGTAGCCGATGGAATCCCAGAAGTGTGGAACTCAGAATTTCTGTCCACAGGACCCCGGAGCCTCAGGATCGTCAACCACAAAATCCCGGAGTCACAGGCTCTGATCTGTAGCCCGGAGTATTCTAGAACCACAGGACCCAGAAATTCAGCCCACAGAATCCTAGCACCAGGGGACCCAAATCTGCAGCCCACAGAATCTTAAGAGACCACAGCATGCAACACACGAAATCCTGGAACCATGGGAAGCAGAAGCGATGCCCACGGTTTTCTAGAACCTCAGGAGAGGAACGAAGCCGTGGGTTCTCAGCACATTAAGCGCACATTAAGTGGCCGAGGAGTTCACCTCATTCAAGTACCCTCCTTTCAAAGATGGGGCGACCGAGGCCCTCTGAGCCTCCAGGGCCACCCTGCCAGAACCCCTCCGCGGCCTTCAGGAGTGCTGGGAGGTCAGGGCCCCACAGGGGCTGGTGGGCGGGGACGCCCGGAGGGGGATGCCCGGGCGGCGGGGGGGGAACCCTTCGGGCACCAGGGACCCTCGGTGCGCAGGCGCACTCACCGGCGGTATCGTATAGGTTCAGGGTCACCTCCTTGCTGCCCACAGTCACGCTGGCCGTGTATTTCTCGAACACAGATGGGGCGTAGTCCTGTCGGAGAAGGGGTCGGCTGGTTCTTAAGGGGTGCGACGGTGGCCCAGGGTCCAGCTGTGCCGCCCCCTTCACCCCATCCAGCTCAGCTCCCCTCACCTCGCTGGGCTCTGGAATTCCCGAGGGGGCGCCCCGGGTGACGGCTGCCTCTCCACGCGCAGGACCCCGGGCCGGGGTCCAGGCTCAAGGTGCAGGCTGAAGGCCATCCGTCGCCCCCGGTGGTCCCAAGCCCGTTTGCCCCGCAGTCTAACCCCCACCAACCCCCCGGCGGGCCTCACCTCAGGGAAGGAGCCCTGGCTGTACACCATAAGCAGTGACGTCTTGCCGCAGCCGCCGTCACCCACGATCACGATCTTCAGCTCCTTCCTGCCCGGGCCCGGGCCCGGGGCCCCGGGGGCATCCATGGCTGTGAGCAGCCAGCACTGGCAACCGCGCGCCGGGCGGACCTCTGGGGCTGAACGATCCGGGGTGGGGGCGGGATCCAGGGGGCGGGGCGAAATAAACCCCGCCCACTATGTGCCCGCATTGCCTCCGCCAGGCAGCCACCCGGGCTCACCTCCCAGGCTCAGTTTTCCTTTGTTAGGGTCCCCGCTCGGGGCGTCCACCTTTCATTCCCAGGGAAACTGAGGCAACTGAGGAACGGGGGTACTCGGCCTGTAGCGCCGCTCCCACTCCCTCCCCTGCACGTCAAGGCGCGGCCCCCATCGACAAGATTCAATCGTTTCGTTTCCGCCGTTCCTCGCCGGACACCCCTGATTGGCAGGCTCCGCCTTCTGGCAGGGACCCTCTGATTGGCCGGCTCGGCCTCCCCCACCCCCATCGGACAGGGACCCTTTGATTGGCGGATCTTTGCCCCAGCACCAGGGGTCCAGGAGCCGTGGTCTCAGGCTCTGGGAAAAGGCCCTTGTCTGCACCCCGCCTCAGCTGTGTGTCCTGGGGCAAGTCGGCTTCCGACCTGTTTCCCCACGAGGTAGGTTGGTAGTGCCGGGGAAGATGCTGGCACGGGGGGCGTGTCTGCCCACCTAGCCCAGCCCTACGGGCGCCAGTGTGGGTGCGGATTGGGGGTGGGGAATAGCGGTTTCCCTCACCTACCCACCCCAACCTCCCCAAGAGCGCAAGGTGGACGTCTGGCGCCCTCTGGCGGGCAATCGCCTTGGGGCGGGCAGCTTGGAGAGCAGGTGAACGACTTCGGAACAACATCCTTTGGGGGTTGGCCCCAAACCACGCGGGCGGAAGTCTCTTTCTAGCAGGGGGCCAGAGGCGTGAACCGAGGAAAAACACCGTCGAGGAAGGGATGGGGAAAGCCAGGGCAGATCTGGTTGAGATAAGCTGGGCCCCCTGAGAACACCCACCCCACCCTGAAATTTGATTAAGCTCTCTCCAGCCAGCAGCCACGTATCTTCATCCCAAGGATTCTCACCAACCCTCCCACTTCCCTGATCAAAACAGCTATTTATTGAGCACAATGTACAGGTACTATTGCGGCTGCTGGCTGAGATCACCTCTGCCCCCCATTCCGTCCCTCCCCGCGACCCTGGGCCCACGGTCCGTTGCACAATCCAGGCCAGTGGTCAAGAGAGGCGGGGGACCCCTGGAGCCAGTGTGCGGCCGGCAGGTACTGACTGAGGCATGCGCAAGTGAGACACGGGTCCTACGAGCTGGGGTAGGACCTGGTCGTTTCCTCAGAGAGGGTTTGGAAGAACTCAGGATCTTCTAGCCACCCGCACCCCCCTCCCCGCAATCCCCCGGGAAGATTTTCAATTTTCAAGTTCTCAGCAAAGACCAGGTAAACTTTACTTCACGGAGGAAATTGCCAACCTGGCAATTCCATAAACGCCGGGTAGGTTTTCCGCGGATGCAAGGCAGGGTCTGACCACCAGAGGGCAGCAGCGACCGCTCGTGGAAGCTTACAAATAAGAGCCCAGAGCTGGGAAAAGCAGGTAAGGCCCAGCTCCAGGTTAAGTGAGTCCTATGACCGGGCATTGGGTTTGGGAAGGCCACCCGCTGGGTCAAGCACCCCCCCACACACAAATTTACAGCAACTCATTCATTCCTTTTTTGCAACACAAGTTTATTGAGAGGCAACTGTGCTCCTGCCTGCAAGGCGCTGTCTTGGGGAAGCAGTCTGAAGGAGTCTGGGAGATGTGAACAGTTAGAGACAAGAACCTCTGTAGGGTCCAGGGAAGGTTGAGCCTCAGCCAGGCAGTGCTGGGAGGGCAGACCAGGGGAAGCAGGATGGGCACCCTGGGCAAAGGCATGGTGGCAGGAAAACCCCATCAGGTTCCACAGCGCCTGGGCGGCGAAGACCAAAGATGGTTGTCAAGGTAACTGGGGTTAGATCAGGGAGGGCGGCCTTGCTGCCAGGCTCAAGAGGGGTGTCTGGACAGAAAGCTCCTGAAAAGAAGCGCCCAGCCAAAGCCGGGCCCTCAAGCTCTCTCTCTGGTGACCCAAGAGGAACTGACTGGCTGGTGAGGCAGGGCTGGGGTCAGGTTTCCACAGTGGCGGCCTGAGGCTGGCAGGAGAGGCAGGACGGACAGGCCTCTGAGTGAGGGGCCGCCTGCTTACCTTCACAGCCAGCCCCAGGCCCGACCCTGAATCAGGGACCCCTAAAGCTCGGGGGGGGGGGGGGGAGGGGGAAGGAAAGGGGAGGGGGGGCCGGGGGGAGAATTCAGTTAGGAGCATCACCGCACTCTTAGCAAACTGTCACCTTGGGGTTCACCACATCTCCTGACTTTCCTCAAAATCCTGGACCTCAAGTTTCCATTTTCTCCACCTGAGAAACAGGACTCTGACCCCAACTTAAGACAGAACAAATGGCTTCCACAAAACTGAGGCGGGGGAGGGGAAGAAAGGAGAGGCTTCCCAGCCCTGCCTGCATCCGGGCAGAACAGCTGACACTGGCCCCAGCCGGCCTGCCCACCCACCCACGCCTGACCAAGAGGCTGGCAGAACCCCAGCCTGACCCGGCCTGGAGTGTGTTTGATTTGGACTCAGCTCCAGTGGTGAAGAGGCTGGATCTGTACCTAAAAATACCCAGGAGCCAGGCCAGCTGCTGAGAGCTTCCTCAGAGGCAGCTGGGCCAGGGCAGGCCAGCTGAGGAGCTGGGTCTGCCCACACGCCTGGGGAGAACGTGCTCCCTTACCTGTCAGATGTTCTGAGGACGCAAGTCATTCACCCTCTATTCACCAGGAATTCCTGGAGTGGTTTAGGAAAGCAAGAAAGATTCTTTAAATTGGATCTTAACATAGAGCTGTTGGACACAGAAGCCTCGGGGAGGCCAGGTGGCATTTGTGGGGGGAATTCATTCGGCCAGTGCTATAGTAAGGCCAACTGAGACCAGGAGAGAACTAAGGGCCAGATCCACTTCTGTCTTGTCAGAGCAAGGTCTGCCCAGCATAGGTAAGGAAGTTAACGACAATTCTTCCAGCTTACACTTCCCTGGTACATGAGAACATCCTAAGCGGTCACCTCACACCTGAGGGACCGGTCATCCACCCCAGATGAGACAGAAGACACTGAGATATTCTTTGAGGTACCAGAGATGGGAGGTGGCCGGGGTTGGCCGGGGAGTCAAGGACTCTCTCCAGGGCTCAGTACCTGGTGGTGCTGGTGGGGAGGTCATGCTGAAACACAAAAAGCTCCCCTCACAAAGCCAGACTCAGACACGGCTCAAAAGGTCATCCTCCACCTTCTTCCTCCTGGTTCACATGCGGAGACCTCAGCTCCCAGAGGGGCGGGGACTTGCTGAGGTCATGGCCAGCTGGAGACAGCGCTGGACCCAGGCGGCCTCCAAGATGGCGGGGTGCCTCCTGCCACAGTCCAGGCAGAGGCAGTCTCCACCCAGAGGGTCCAAAAGGTCGTATTCCAGGCTGGGGCTCCCGGTGGATGAGCCGGAAGAGGCGGGACCCTGGTGTCCAGTAGCTAGGCAGGTCCAGCCACCTCCCAGCCTTGGGCCGCCCTTCCGCTGGCGTGGCCCTCTCCAGGCTGGCCCCACCGGATTGGCGCCAGGAGCAGCCCCGCCCTGAGCTCACGGGGCGACCGGGGGGCGGGGCCAACCTCTGAGCCAGGAGGAACCACAGCCGGAGGACAGACAAGCTGCTGCGCCCCTCCCTGCCCCCCCGGGGGGGGGGCGATGGGGGTGCGGTGGGGGGACAAAGAAAGGTGAAAGAGGTAAAGAAGAGAGGGAAGTGGGGAGGGGGTATGACCCTTACAGGTCATCGGGACACCTCTCCCTCCCAAAAATCACATCCAGACCACAGGTTCGCACCTAATTGCTCCCTAATTGTTCCGAGGGCGCGAGTGGAGGACCTGGCTCTAGCCCTCCAGGCAGTGGCTGGGGGGGGAGGGGGGGTTTAAATCAATTACTTAACCATCCGATGCCTGTGGGACATAAAGACCCCTGTCTCCGGGAGCCCTAAGGAGTCTATCTAAAGGGATGGCAGACACCCTCAGGCAGCAAGTCAGTCACCGGAGGATCAAGGGAGTTGAAAGAGCAATTCAATAGCAGCACCGAACTTGAAATCTTGATTCTGGGCCAGAGTGGAAGGAAGACGCGCACGGGATATGAAGAACATGAACCTCATCAACTTTTACAAAGCGTCCCCCCCCCGCCCCCAGAGGGAAGAGGGTCTGGTGCCAGGTGCAGCAGAGGGAACCTCCTTCCCCCACCAGCAAAAGATGGACCAAACCCAGCTTATTGGGGCTGTAGACCCTCGTGGGGCCAAGGGAAGGGGGCCAAAAGGAGCCAAGAGCACCACGCTGGTTACTTTCAACCAGACAGCTTTCCCAGCTTCCTGGCAGTGATGCCTGGCACGGGAGGAAGCCCAAAATAACCCAGACAGCTGGGGTGGGGGGTGCCATGGACACAGGCGATGGGCTGCAAGTCAAGACACCTGGAACCCATCCTGGCTGCCAGTGGTGGCCTCGTGACCTTGGGTGAGTCACTTCTACTCTCTGGGACCCCAGATCATGACCCACTCATGGAACAGCTGGGGGCAGGCCACCATTCCGACTCAAACCACACAGGAAGAAAATTGGGGCTGGCTCCCTGCCTACGGAAAGTCAGTCTTCCCCTTTGCCCTGAAGCTTTGCCACGTGCCTCCGGGGTGGGTTGGTGGGGGAGGAGCTCACAGACAGCCCAACCCCCACTCCCTGCAGCCACATGGGAATGGAGGCCAACTAGTGTGAAGCCTGAACGTGAGGCCAAGCCCCCTTAATCACACTTAATCCTCCCACTCCCGTTTCCAGCCTGCGTCTTTATTATCATTTCACACTGGAGACTCACCCAAGGTCACCAGCACAGCCACCAGACTTAGAGCCTCCCTTGATTAAGCGTCAAGATGGCTCTCAACCAAACCTGCAGGTCTAGCCCTTCCGGCTCCCCCAAACTTCAGTTTAGCCCTCACACTGAGGGGTGGGGTAAAAGTAGGCAGGGCTCATCCCACAAGGAAGCCAAACCTCAGTCCAAATGGGGTAGTGGTGCAGATCAGTGGCACCTGGACCCAAATGGTTCATCAAAGTAATCCCTAACTAGAGATCACATGGGGGAGGGATCAGAGATCAAGGGCCACACCACCTCCAGCTGTGGAGCTTCCTGGAGCCAGACAGGAGGAAGCTATGAGCAGTCAGCTTGTGTCAGGAGAGTAAGGAGAGCACTGCCATTACTCGGAAGCTAACGCCTCTATCAGGCGCTGAGCTTGGGGTTTCAAGTGCACTTGCTCCTGTCCCCCTCACAAAACCTCCAGGTGTTAGCCAGCCCAAAGGTTCTCAAAATGCGTCCTCGGATTGCAGCCATCAGCATCACCTGGGAACTAGTTAGAAATCCAAGTTCTCCGTCCCCATCTACTGAATCAAAAACTGGGCCCTGGAGCCGGTCCTAAAGAGCATGCTCAAGACAGGGAATCACTGACCCAGGCCCATTTTTGCACAGGGGCAACGGGGCTCTGAGACTAAGCCTGCTCAAGCAAAGTCACAGCACGTAAATAGCTAGCCAGGTTTCAAATCCCAGTCTGTCTGATTGTAGAAACAGGATTTTTTTGGGGGGGGGGTTTGCAGAGAATGGTGGAATTCCCAGGAATGGGGAGAAGGGTCAAAAAACCTCTTTCTCAGAGGAAGCTGGCCCAGCTCTCTGGTAGCGTTCTCCACCTCCCTGGCAGCTAGACATCAGAGGGAAGATACCAGTTCATAGTCACCCACATGTCCCCACTCAGGGCCGGAAGGGAGGGCCAGAGCAGGGCCCGGCTTCCTGGCAGCAGATGGTACCTTTCTGAAGAGGCACCCAGGGCCCTCCCCACCACCACCGCAAAACACAGAACTGGGAAATACTTGCAAGTGCAACCTTCTATGCGTCTCAACACTGCATAGAATTGCACGCCCCAAACTCTTGACAACAGAAGCTGACAGGCGGGGATGGATGGACCCAGCAGGCCCAGCAGGGAGCCGATTTCACACACACAGTCCCACACATCTGTGTGGGGGAGGGGCTGCAGAACCAGCCTAGCGGGTTTGGGGTGCCCGCCCTCCCTGGGCCCCAGGCCCAAGCCCCCCAAATCTCCCTCGCAGGCTGGCAAAGGACTCACACCTACCTTATTATCAGAGTGAAGTTAGGCCTGCTCCCGCTGTCCGAAGGAGGATGGTTCACTCTGGGGGTACCGGGTGGTCGCCCTTTCTCCAGCCAAGAGCCTGACAGGGCAAAGTCGGAGGGTTTGTTAGGGAGTTGATAGCCACAAACCGGGCAGGGTTCCCTTGAGGGAAGAGAGGGAGCCTCACAAAAGCCCCCCCGCCTTTTCCATCCGCCCAGGCGGCCCTCACTCTGGAAAGGATGGGGGGGGTGCGGCTGAGTCACGGAGGTTCAGCCCGGGCGACTAGCAGCAGGAGGCGACTCATCTGCATTTCCAAAGGCCCGCCCCGTCCACATCCCCTCCCTGAGAAAGGGCCGGAGATGTGAGGGCTCACCCTCGAGCCCTCCGCCTCGGGGGATCCCGGGGAAGGCCCGCTCAGCTTTCCCAGGCCGCAAGCCTCCCCCCTCGCCGCCCCCGGCCTCTAGAGCGCAGGGTTGGAGGGTGTGCCCTGAACGACCAAATCAGTAACGTCAGTGGCCTCCCGGAGGGCCTCCAGCGCAAACTGGGGACAAAGGGGGCCCCCTACCCTTCGGGCTCGGCCATCACGGCCGTGGAGAGCCAGACTTGGGCGCCGAGGCCCGGCTAGGCAGCGGGGCAGCGGGGATCCGACTAGGGTCAGGGCCGGGCCTGGAGGGAGGCTTCCCCCCGCCTCGGGAGGTCCCGGTCGGAGTCAGGGGGAGCCTCGAGGCCCCGACCGTCCCCGTGGCCCTTTGCCACTGGCTCCCGCGGCCCCGCCTAGTAGTGAGGCGTCCTCGTGCCCGCAGGGGCCCCCGTGTCGGGAGCGGGGTCCGAACCGGCTGCGGAGCCCGCGCTCGTCGTCGAGGCCTCCTCGGGCCAGGGGCGTCCACGCGGGCGGCGGCCTGGAGCGCGGGCGGCGGCGCGCCGGCCTCCCCTCCCCCCCCGCCCCCCGCCCGGCTCCGCCGCCTCCCTCCCTCCTCCCGCCTGGCGCGCAGCAGCCGCCACCGCCCGAGCCGCAGGCGGCGCGCGAAATGGCGCCCGTCTGGCCGCCTCACCCGGCGGAGGCGAGCGCGGGAGCCGCGGCGCGCGACGCCCCCGGGCCCGCAGCCCTCCGCAACAGTCTCCGCGACCACCCTCCGGCCTCGGGCGCTGTGCCCTGCGGGCTCTCGGGGCCCGGCCCGGCGAGGGGCGGCCATCAGCCCCGGGCCCCCAACGACAACCGGGCAAGAGGGAAGGAGGAGGAGGAGGAGGGCGGCCGCCATTAGTCACCCACAGCCCGGCCCGCCCTCCTGCTCCCCGGTCCCGGTCCCGGTCCCGGCCCCGGTCCCGGCCCCGGCCCCGGCCCCGCTCTGAACCTGAAAATAAAACTCGTGTTTGGGAGGGAGGAGCGAGCGCGGCCGGGAGAACAGGCACCGCTCGGTGGCAGGCAGGAGAGATGCTGCGTCATGGTGCCAACATGGACGCCGGCCTTTTGTCCTCTTTTGCTTAGGAAGCGCAGGCACGCCCCGGAGCCCCCGAAAAGCCGGCTTCAGAGTGCTAGCCCCACAATCTAAAGAGAAAGAGTTCCTAGGCCGAGCGGGGAGGTTTCCTCGTCTTTTGAGGCCCCCCCCCCAATCTCCAAAACACTTAAAATTTTTTCCTCCCCATCAAGGCTCAGACCTAGAAAAGCCAGGGGGAATGAGCGCAGGCACCTCCATGGATGCCCGAGCTCGCTGGGGGAGAGCCTCCCCTCGCCTCCGGGGCAGAAGGGGCAGAAGGGCCTGAGGAGCCCTCCTCGTCCCCCCACCCCTCCCCATCCGGCTGCCAAACATAAAGCTCCAGAAACCTTCTCCCCTCAGCTCCCAAACATCTGCAGCCCTTGGCCTGCTCGAAAAAAGATTTCCTCGAAGGGGCAAAAGGCACTTTTTTTTTTTTTTTTTTTTAACTTACCCGCTCAGCCCGGTGCCATGGAGTCTGGAAGATCAAGTTGGGCGGAGGTTTTGGACGTGTTATGTAAAAAATATCTTTTGGGGGGATTGTTTAGTTAGGAGTATTGGGGGAATGGTGGTGTCTTTCCTGTTGTTGTTACCTTTTTGTAAGTTACACTCTCATGGCATTTTCTGCTCCTTCCACTTCTGCAAACTTTCCAGGGTTGGGTTGGCAAAAGGCGGCTTCGCTGAGGACTGTTTACTGCTCTGGATATAGCAATGGTGTGATCGTCATTAAGAGACAAAAGGCGAAAACACGGTCAAATCAAACAAAAGGCAAAAGACGCACGGCCATCCCAACCACCATAGAAAATACCCGCGAGTTAACGTTGGTGTTTGGCTCGAACCAGCTAGGACTTGTTTTCCAGTTTTAATCTAGTTTCCTGTGACGGCTTTAGTCTCTGTACACAAAGAGAAGGTCTTCCTTTCCCTCACCCACTCCCCTACCAAGACGAGAAAAACAGAAGTGTTTTTCTTCAAATAGATCGATTTTCAAAGAAAGTGTACGTTACTGGGAAGAAAGCTGACTAGCATTTATGGCTGTAAACATTTTCAAAAGCATAAAGCTAAAACCTTAGCTTTATAAAAAGCAAAGTCGTCTAAAAGCATTTTAACTGGCTTATATTAGACAAGAGCAACAAAGACATACATGCAGATGAAGGTTCAGAAAATTAAGGACATCTCAGCAACATTAACATAGAAACTGCACTGCGTAAGGACAGAATGGATTGGGTACTTACAATATAAAAGGTTTTTAAAAACTTAAAAAGAGTAACGACTGCTTACAATTTTTTGTTGCTGCCATTTCGCTAGTCCTAGAACTATACATTTAAAACATTACCTTGTTAAAAAAAAAAAAGAGCAGAAGGAGTTAATAAGATGGCCAGGTTTAAGTGTTTAATAGAGGAAACTATATATATTTAAAAATTTATTGTTCAGTCAAGAGAATACAGATTAAGACAGCTCCAAGCTCCCCCCACCCACCCAAGAAAAAAAAAGAGGAAAAAAAATTAAATATGTCATTTACTTAGGTTTTTTGGAATTCAAAATTGTTAACTGCTGACATTAATGGTGTGCTATGACCTAGTTATACAAGACAAAGATGGATTCCAAGTCATAAGGAAAAATCCAGATCTTTTTAAAAAGTCTTCTTCATTCTTCCAACTGTGAGTCCTTTAGCCTGTTGACAAATGTTAAACACAACACTGAGGCGTCCTGAACTGGATGGTGGAGTCAAAGGAAAAACATTCCCCATTTGCAACAAAGGAAAAACCCACTTGGCCATTTAATTCCATTGCAGAAAAATGGCTCCCCTCATCTGTTGGCCTCTCCTTGGTGTCTGATGAACGATGTTTTGAGATCAGCGTCTAATAACTCAAGCCCTATAGAAGCCGCGCGCTGATTGGCTGCCGCGCCCTGCCGCCCTGCTCCAGCCAATTACCTACCCACGGCCAAATTACAAACCCCGAAAAGAGCCCCAATATGAAATACACCACCACGAAGCCCCAGCAAGGCGGCTCCTTCGCCTTGGCAGCCCGAGAGGAGAGGCAGAGGGGGCTGCAAATGCGTCCCCGCGAAGCCCGGGAGCCTCGGAGTTGAACTCACAAAATGGAAGCCGCGCGCTGATTGGCCGCCGCCACTCCCGGACCTTTAATAAAGAAAGGGGAAGGAAAAGATAAATGCAAAAAAGGGGGACTCTCTCCTCTGCTGGTGGCTGGAGGAAGGGGGGGGAGAAGCATGTGTTTAGGACAATTACAGGGCGCTCCTCTCCAAAAATAAAAACAGAGCAAAAAGCTTCTATCACCCAGGTCCAGGCGAGGGCTACATCCTCCCAGGAACGTGAATGCTAATTTGGTTAAAATCCTGGTTTCCCCTCCCTAGCTCAGCTCCAAGGGGGAGGGGGTCTCGGGGCCGAGGAGGAAGCCGGAGCAGAGATACCTCGATTGCAACTCGTCTTGAGTCGTCTTGTCTCCCCCCACAGTTGCCAGCGTCTAAACACACAATCACACCCCCCCCAAAAAAAACCCAGCCCTTTCCCCCGAGCCCCCACGCGCCCACCTCCGGTCTTGGCAGTTTGGAAACAGTTTTGGAGGCCCCAGGCGCACGCCGCGGCGGCCGCGGCTCGGAGGGTAGCCCCAGCCGCGGGAGGTAGAGCCCGGGGAGACCCCCCTCCCCCCCCAGCCAAGCCCCCCACCTAAGTCCCAGCAGAATAAATAAATTAAAAGGCCTTCCCCCGGGGAGGGGGGGAGGCAGTGTGGGAGCGCGCGAGTGAGGGGTGGGGGGCCGCTGGGGCCCGGGGCTTTGGCGGCGCAGCTGCCGCCGCCGGGAGAGTGCCTGGGGAAGCGGCGAGGAAGGAGAGGGGAGGAGGAAGAGGAGGAGGAGGAGGAAGAGGAGGAGGGTGAGCGCTCGGGTCGGGCTCCTTAGCGGTGTATTGTGGGATGTGCGGCTACTGGGAGCCGAGCCTCCGCCGCCAGCCGCCTCCCGGGCAGCAGCAGCAGCAGCAGCAGCAGCAGCGGCGGCGGCAGCGGCAGCGGCGGCGGCGGCGGCGGCAGCAGCTCCGGGCCCGGCAGCCGCGGCGGCGGCACCCCCCCCTCCCGGCCCCCCGTCCGGCCGCCCCGGCCTCGGCTCCCGCGGGGGACACCATGTACTGGCTGGCGGCGCAGGGAGGCCGGCGCCCGGCGGGGATGTAAGCGCGGCTCGGGGAGGGAGAGGCCGCGGTCGGCAGCCGGGCGGCCCGAGCCCCCGGCCCCGGCCCCGGCCCCGGCTCCGGCTTCGGCTCCGGCTCGGGCCGAGCGGGCGGGCGGGCGGGCGGCGCCAGGCCTGCCGCGAGCCCAGCGCGCGAGCCGGGCCGAGCGAGCGAGCGAGCGCCACGCCGGGCGGTCAGGCGGCCGGACTGGCACCATGGGCCGGAGCCCGCGTCCTCCGGGCGCCCCGGGCCCCGCCAGCACGCCCCGGGCCCCCCCCCCGGAGCCCCTCACTGCCGCCCCGAGACGGTGGCCGAGCGGGCGGGCGCCTAATTCTCCCGGAAGGGTTATTCTCTCGCTCTATTCTTATTTTGGGGGGAGCCAGCGAGACAGCTCCTTTTGGGGCGCGCTGGTAAGGTGGGAGGGGGTGGGGGCTGGACGATCTGATTCTTTCGCGTGTGTGTAGAAGCGGCCGCCGCCGCGGCGGAGACGACAACAACTTGCTCGTTTTCAGGTTGGGTTAACGGCATGGAGAACAGTCACCCCCCCCCCCACCACCACCAGCAGCCCCCGCCGCAGCCCGGCCCTTCGGGCGAGAGGAGGAACCACCATTGGAGAAGTTACAAGTTGATGATTGACCCGGCTCTGAAAAAGGGGCATCATAAACTGTACCGCTACGATGGGCAGCATTTCAGCCTGGCGGTGAGTAGCCGGCGCGCCTCCCCGCCGCCCCCCCCCACCCCCAGCCGAGTCCGGGGCGGGGGGGAAAGGGTTCGAGCCGCCCAGGGTCCCCCCCTTCCAACCACCGGGCCAACTGTCAGCTGGGTCCCCAGTCCTGGAGTTTGACAAGTGCCTGGAGAAGGGAGTCTGCCCCTGCCCCTGGGGAGTGGGACCAGCCCTCCCATTCCGCCCCGCCCCCCCCCCATGCCTCCCCACAGATGTCCAGCAACCGCCCGGTGGAAATTGTCGAAGATCCCCGGGTCGTTGGGATCTGGACCAAAACCAAGGAGCTGGAGCTGTCGGTGCCCAAATTCAAGGTAGGACCCCTCCCCCCGACCCCACGGTCTTCCTCCCCCCGCCCCCCGCCACTCCCCGAGTTCGAAAATAACGCCACTCCTGACCGAGCCCAGCCAGATTCTGAGTTCCCGCCGTCCACGGCCGGGGAAGTTTTGGCGGGGAGGGGGAGATGTCAGCGAGAGGGGTGACCCCTCTGGGCTACTGTAAACAGAAACACTCAGTGAAACTGTAATCCAGGATCTGATACAGTGTCCTGCCGGCCCAGCTGGGGGCTCCAGGTCCCCACCTGGCTCCTGCCAGCCAGGCGGCTCTACCCCGGGACCCGCCCCCCTTCTCAGCCTTGTGGCTTAAGGGGGACAACTTCCTAGACCCAGGGTTTGCCCCTGACCCCGCAGCAGGGAGAGGAGGCCAGAATGGGGGGTGGGGAAAGAGAAACTGTTTCTTTTTCCCCTTTCCTTTCGAACCCAGAGGACTTCCACGTTCCAAACGATTTAATCCTCCGCTTCCCGGGCCCGCCCGCGTGCATTTTTTTTTCCAAAAAAAAAAAAAATATATATATATATATATTTTTTTACCCTTCATTGTTTCAACGGGCATGCGAGTGGGGAATGTTGTTTCCCTTCGGTTTCAATGTTCTCCAAACTCCCTTCCCCCTCGTCCCTGCCAGATCGATGAGTTCTATGTGGGCCCGGTGCCTCCGAAGCAGGTGACATTTGCCAAGCTGAATGATAACATCCGAGAAAACTTCCTGAGGGACATGTGTAAGAAGTATGGGGAGGTGGAGGAGGTGGAGATTTTGTACAACCCTAAGACCAAGAAGCACTTGGGCATTGCCAAGGTGGTCTTTGCGACGGTCAAGGGAGCCAAGGAGGCTGTTCAGCATCTGCATAGCACTTCAGTCATGGGCAATATCATCCACGTGGAGCTGGACACTAAAGGTGAGTGGAGGCCTGCTTAGGGCAACCTACCGTGGGGGGGGGGCAGGCCCTGTCACTATGACTCCTTTCCCTCCCAGAGCCCCTCTTGTAGTGTTGGGGACCCCCACTTTTGCCCCCTCCTAAGAGTAGAGTCACGTGGAGCTAAATGTGTTGTCTGTTGCTAGGAGACAAGCTATAATTTACCAAATGTGCTGTCCTTGGCTACTGCATGTACCCCTAGGGACCTCCCAGAGGCTTCCCCACCACTGACACCCTTGCGGGCCCTTCTCGGAGCCCTGGTGGCCTGGGTTTAGGCGGTCCCCAGTGTTGCCATCTGGGTTAGGGGAGGAGGCAGGGTTTGTTTATTTGTGAGGGGCTGAGGGAGAGCCGCTAGAATGTCTTTAAATACACAAAGGGTAGGTCCTTCAACTAAAAAGAGGGCCCTCCAAGGATCCAGGGTCCCAAACCCCCCAGTGCTACCCCTTCCCTCTGGAGGTGGAAACCAATCTGGGCCCAGAGTGTGGTTTCATTGATAATGTTCCGATAGAGCTGGGCGGGCTGCTCTGGGTGCTCAAGGGTTGACACTGTGCCTTCCCTCCTCTCTCTTAAAGAGACAGCAGCACCTCCGGTGCATCGGAATCCCGCTCTGTGCTCCCTCTGAGCTGGCTGCTGGGAGAGTGGAGCTGGAGAAACCACCCTTCCTCCCTTAGGTTCTTGGGAGGAGAAGCTGGCTGCTGGATAGAGGGGCTTGCAGGACTCTAGGGCATCCCCCAAAGTTTGCCTGTGGCCTCTCTAGGGAAGTTCCCACCAATATAGAAGGTGCTGGGTGCCCTGAGGAGCAGCCTGCCCTGTGACTGGATAGGCACTGTTGGGTCCAGTGCCTCTTGGGGTCTCCTGGGAGATACTGCCTGGGAGGGCTTTGGTTGGCAGCTTCCAGGAGTTCTGTGAGCATAGGGTTTGGGGGCAACCAGGGCATACCAAACCCAAACCGGAAAATCCAGACCCTTCTTTTTTGCTTTTAATAATGAATACCTACTGACTGGGTCTCTAAGCCCTTGCTGGAGGTTGTGGAGGGACGCTGGAACTGGGTAGGCACAGTTATCCCACAAAGTCTTGCCAAGCCTGTACCTAGTTCTGAGTTTCCTCAGGGCACAAGCCCAGGTTCCTGCCTAAGCCACAGCACCCCTCTCCCGAGCTCTAGTGTCTCAGTCTCTGTCAGGGGCATACAGACCCTTCCAAATCTACATATCCTTTGGGTGGCTGCAGTCTGATGTCTCTCTGAGAATTGAATATGGAGCCCTCTCCCTGTCACATGGCCATTTCATTTCTGAAAAGGGGAAAGAGAAAAAAAAAAAATGGGAGGCCCTGAGACTGCCAACTAACTTCGTATTTCGAATTTCG